AAAGGAAAAAAAAAAAGACCTGGAAATCACGACGCGTGAGCAGTCGGAACCATTTTCATTGCTTTTAATTTAGATTACAGGTTGGATACGCTCCAAATTCATGACCATGTTGCAGAGTAAAAGCGAAAAAGTTAACACATCACAGGTTAGTCACCATACGGTGGACAATCGGAACAGCACTAGGAGGTAGACTGCCCATCTCAGTAATAACCATGTCGACATATTCCGCAGGCGTAACATCATACATAATGTTCAGCAGCTGCAAGTTGGGAGTGTTGTGCCAGTTCGCGAGAGGAGAGGAAGAATTCTTGTGGGGGGTAACAGGAGGCTCAGGAGCCGGGGCGCGGTTTCCACCCTTCTTATTCTCAGGCGGAGGGGGCACATAGGCATCTGCCGGGTCGGGGACGACGAGGGAGACTGGAGTACTCATCGGGAGTAGCTCATTGGCATCGGCGATCTCGTTAACGACGATGCTGTCGAGGGCGACGCGGTCGGTGAACTTGATTGTCTCACAGCAGACGATGACGGGGATTTCAACGCCACTGGCGCGCTCCTTGGCGGACATGGCGACAAGGGCGGTACCAACACGGGAGTACAAGCCACCGTTACTAGTCATAGCATGGGCGCCGAGGAAGACCTTTGTGGCATCCTTGATGGCGTGGGTAATGGCGTGGACGAGGGAGTATTGGACGTCGAGCCCGCTCTTGGCGAGATCGCGGGCGAGGCTTTTGCCTTCGAAGAGGGGCCGTGAGTCGATGATGGAGACGCGGAATCGCTTGCCTTGGTTGTGTGCTAACAAGAGTGTCTGCTTAACGATGCTGCTGCCGGCAAATGTCACGATCACATCGCCGTCTTGGACCTTCTGTGCTGCACTGTCTGCAATCACTTGATCGGCGACGGTAATCTTCTCACGGATAAAGCTGTCGATGTACTCGCAGAGTGAGATCTTGGCGCTCGCCTCGGGGGTAGAGGGATCAATGCCAGCAATGAAGAGCTTCAAGGCACGGATGGCATTTCCCTGGCTGATGGAGAGGGGTCGACATGTCGAGAGGTAGGTGATTTGGTACGAGAGGTGTGTGGTCAGGTGGCGAGCCAGCGAGGTGCCCATAGGGGTTGTGTAAGATTCAATGACCTTTAGAAAACGAGTTGTCAGCATACACAGTCACTGTCATATCATATTGACATGAAGCAAGAGAACAACATACTCGTTTGAAAGCAATCAACGTGGCGACGCAGCGTGCACTGCTGCCACAGATAGTGTAATCCATCAACTGCATGCCCAAAGCCAGGATGGCAGGGTGCACTTCCTTTGTAGCACCAGCGACAGTGACGCGGCGCTGTTGTCCGTACAAATGCCCAAAGACAGCAACCTTCTTATCATCTTTCTTTTTCTTTTGCTCCACAAGAACAGAACCAGTTTGCGCGATGGGACCTGAGCCACGGCGCGGGGGCGGCGCTCGCTGTCCCTTTTGTGCAGAGCCAGGTCCAGCAGCATCCTTCTTCGGTGTAGTTGGTGGACGAGCCTGGGCTCCGACGCCAGGAGTGGGAGCGGTACCGCCGACGGAACCTCCTTCTTTCTCAAGTTTCTCTCGGATGCGTCGGGCAGCCTTTTCGGCCTTGGCTTTCTTCTTCAGCTCGGCTGGGCTAAGCGGCTTGTCTGTGGCGCCGTCTGTGGACGCGGGCGCATCTCTGGCGGGCTGGGTGGGTTTTGAGTCGCGGATCGGGAGAGTTTGCGGAGTGTTTTCGGTCGCGGGTTGAGCTTGCTCCGGTGCCGATGAAGCAGGAGTCGAGACTGGCGCGGTGGGCGCTGGATCGGAGGGTCCCGCCATCTTGTCTGTGAATTAATTCTCGTGTGAGGGTGGATCTGCGAAGATGGTGGGGAGAGGGAGGGAGGGTTGACTCACGGAAAAAGAAATGATGCCATAAGCGGCCCACTGAGCGGCGCAGCCCTAACTTGTGGTTCATCGCGCGTTATAAACAATCCGTAGAATCGTTGAATTGTTCTTAACTATCGGCTTCTATTCAGTTCAATACTTGATTCAAACAGAAATAATTTACTACTCTCAATTAAATGACATGGCCTCCATATAAGAGCGCAGCCTGAAAGAAACTCGTGATACCCAATGGGGGTAGTTGACATTGAAACATGCATAACATCAAGTGTCTCATTATTCATCGCAGGGGCTCGCTGTAACAGAAATAAGTACATAGGCCAAAACTAGTCTGGTCCAAATTCAAACAAGGAAGTCTGAACAAAAACTGTAAACATTTCAAAGGGCATCGCAGAAGAGCAGACAAAGAGATCGCCACCAACACCATTCAATCCCTGTACACCCAAAAGATAGAAATAAAGCCATATCCACATATTAACGATTGTTGACAATGGTTCCCAAGGCACGCCGCTTCCGAGTAGTATGCTCCTCGATCGGACGGAACCGTTCATGGTCCGTGGCCAGCTTTCTCTTGAAGACACTCAGGTCACCGAGAAGTTCATGCATGTGATTTTGCATCTGTTCGGCTTCTTGCTCGGTAACATCATCGGTGATAGTATCCTCATCTTCCCAAACATCCATGTCAGATTCGGCATCTGATACCAAAGGAGAGCCCTCGCGGTCTTCTGGATCGTGATTGGGCAGTTGGCTCTCATCTTGTAGGGATGTAAAGCTAGGCTTTCGTTGCTCAAAGGTAATGGGTGGGATTGGGTTCTTGAGACTCTCAACCGCTAGTTTCAGATGCATGCGCAAAGCGTCGTTTTCTGTTTGCAGTTGTCGGATCTTGCATTCACTGACCATCTTATTTTCCTCCATGAGGCGTTGCATTTTCTCGACTTTCTGCTGATACTCTTCGAGTTTTTCATCGGAGGCCTCGCTTGCCCGCTGGTTGACTGCTGCTTGGCTCACGCTGAGTTGAAGGGTGCGGATGGTTTCTGTCATCTCCGCAATCTGTCGGTCACGCTCAGCTGCCGACATTTGATCTTGGTTGACTCGTGCCCGTGTCCGAATGTTCTTGGCCTGGTCCGCATAACGCAGAGTCGAAAGTGTCTCTTCGTAGTCCGCAGGTGCGATACAGGCAATCATCGCAGTCTTGGAGTTACCGCCGAGACTATCCTTCAATAGCCATGTCAGGATCGAGTCGCGATATGGTACTTGTTCTTTGCCCTTTCGTGGACCGCGGAGTTTCTTGGGATCTGCGAGCGCTGCAATGACACGTCCTAAGGTAGTCAAAGACTTGTTGATATTTGCACCCTCACGAAGTCTAGCACCAGTTGCTTCGGTAGATTTGGCACGCTCGGAGCCTGCCAGATCGACCAACCGAATCCGAGCAGTGCGCTCAGTCGTTTCGTCTGTTGACAAGTCGTGGTGGATCTGTTTTAAAGTGATGGTAAACACTGCATGAGATCGAGAGGAAGTGTCGTTCATCTTTGTGCTAGCTGTAGTTCGGGAGACATCGCCCTTTCGCATAAACTTCATCAATTCAGTGTAGTTCCTTGCGGTGACCTCTGTCAAATCCTTGACGTATGGACCTTCTGACGGCGATTCACGAATGCGGAGATAGTGCGGGGGATCCGTTCGCGGGACCAAAAGATCACGAACATGCTCGTTGTATACTTCGAAATAAGACACTCGGACGTTATAGCTGATATCGGGAGAAGGCGAGTTCTCAATGCGCTGGAACAGATCCTCGCAAGTTCGAGGAATCAAGCCGGGCCGATCTGGTGTTCCCATCATGGTGTAACTCTTTCCCGAACCCGTCTGTCCGTATGCGAAGATACACGTGTGGTATCCTTCGAAGTTGTGATCCAAAAACTCCTCGCCTAGAGAGTTGTAGACATCCTCCTGGTGTGCATAATGCTCATCCTCCTCATTGTGAGACCAAAAGGAGTTATCGAATGTAAAAGATTTATCTTCCAAGATCTTGCCGCGGGCCTGTGACTTTGGTTTTCCTTGATCGCCGGGTTTCGGTTTCGGTGCTTGAAGGCAGGTCATCTGCGTGCGCGGGTCCATCGAAATCAAACATTCTGCCTTGCGATCGATTTCTGTAAGATGAGGTCAGAATATGCCCTCCACTTTCGGGTTATCGCGCTTCCCCGCGTCCTCCCCAGACAACACCTACCTCGAGGTAAGAACTTCCGTACTCGTACGACGACGCGCACATTTCCCCCTGGTGTTGGACTAGCCATCCCATCTCTGGTACGGGGTATTGCGAATCCCTCTCGCGCGCGGAAGGAAGGACTAGAAGCTGTGGATCGGAGAGTGGCGGCGGAAGCGGAGGTGGAGATAATACTGGGGGAGGTGATTCCCGTGGCGGCTGATATGTCGGATGAAGCGGCTGAAGATATCGAGCCTGGGCCCGGATGGCCGATGTGGTGATAGAAGCGTGGATCGAGCGCCATGTCCCTACTGCTGTCGCTTAATAGCTGCACACAAGCGGTGACGGCCTCGCGTCGCCGATCAAGAAGAGAGTGGTACATGCAAAATTGATTACATAGAATGGGATTGACAAAGGGGAAAATCAGAAATAGATTTGGAGAGGGAATATGTAGACTGGAATGAGTGAAAGGGGGGGAGGGGGTCGGTACTGTTGCGCGTTGTTTCCTTGGAAGTTCAGTTCATTGTAAAACACAATGAGTCTAGAGCATATTTGATGGAAAGAATGTATGATATATAATTAAAAAAGAAAGAACGAAAATGAAATTGAAATTGGGAATAAGATAATAATAGTAAAAGAGATGATTTCCCAAGGTTCTACGACATCAAAGTGTCACCGTCTATAAGGGCTGTTGCCATAGCAATGACCCGCTAAAACTCCACTACATATACATTTGTATGCTCTCTCTGCTCTTGGACTGAAACCTACATATATGTATTGAAACATATTGAAACCTGCAGTAGATTGCTTTCAAATGTAGTTTAATTCTCTTCTTAATGGATACTAGTATGTAATTATTTCGTATTTCGTTTTTACTCCAACCACTTCCCCATATCTCAAATCAATCTCGCTCAATCTCGCTCAAAGTCTGAAGTCTCCGCATTCATAGCCTCAAACAAATCGACATCGTCGTCAGGTTTTCTTGTTGGGCCCCAACTTGGATCGGGCACTGGGTTGCCAGAAGCGTCCATGTGTTCACTCAAAAGTTCAGTCGGGCCCATCTCGCTGTGGGAGGCTTTTTGCGTAGCGTGGGTCTTAGCTCTCACGGCACCAGCTTCCTTGCCCTTATTTTCGCCTTTCTCCTTAGGCATGATGTCTTGACAATGTTAGCGAGTGTTCTTATGGAGCATCGCATCCTCCCCACCGTCAACTCCCGATGCTCTTCTCATGAGGTACAAGGGTTGAATTGGGCTCCATACCAAGAGTTGTTTGTGATTATTCTATGTAGTGTTCGTTGAGTTTGTTTGATATATCCTCTTACTTATGGAGAAAGTAGTTCATATTTATATGTTTATTGAAGGTGGCGGCAATGATTAGACCATGACGATGACATTCACCACCACTTTGGGTCCTTCTCCGAACTTGCCATTCAGATGCCATCTATTTGTGCCACCGATTCTATTATGTTCTGAAAATCTGCTTTACTATGGGTCAGTCAATGGAGGCTGGTTGTGGGCCGTGGTTGTTCTGAGGTAATTCATGGATGCTGAATGTTTGGATGTGCTATCATAGCACTTTTGCCACAGAGCTCTGTTTGTTATGATTTTTGGTGCCCCATGGATAGTACCTTCTTTAACCATCTGTCTGGTGGCAATCGAAATGCATTGATTATATTGGCCTATTATCTACCCTGGTTGGGGGGTGCTTCATAGACCTCCAATCCGGTCATGTGCAGGTGAAAGTAAATGATGGAGTACATGACGCCGAGATATCACTTCAAATGTTCTTTGTGATCTAGATCGCCGATGCCTAAGGAATGAGCCTGAAGGGGGAATAATTCACGAAGGTGATACTTTTATAGTTTTATTACAAATAACCACTGGAATGCACTGAGGTTGTCGGTAGCTATACGGATATGTTCAGGCCAGTCACGTGCATAATGACCGATGTAGAGTGAGTGCCCATTGGATGCTCACTACGTTTCGCCTTTACTAAAGAGGTGTTATGTTTGTTATCGGCCATAAGAACTATGGAGGATCTGCATGTGGATTTCGGGGGGGCATATGCCGAGAATCTCTTACACCTCTTACATCGATATCAGCCACCTCACATAACAACCGGGCCGCTGCATATTATTCTTTTCTAGCACACAGTATGTCCTAAAACGTTGTTAATTTCATAGATGTAGAGCCACTACTTCCGGACGACATATATATCCTCTGCTCAACGTCTGTCAATCCCTATCTAAGCGAACCCGCATGACTCCCTACTTTATATGAAGAGAAAGCTGAACTTGAACTCAGAATACATGATATGTATATATCGATCTATGCACATAGAAAACCCATAAAGGTTCATGATAAAATGCGCCAAAAAAAAACCACACTGCCCAGGTAGGCATTGGTAGGCTTAGCACGATTAAGAATATAGGAAAAACTCCCAGTGAGCTTGAGAAGCCTTCACCAAGGCACAGTTCGACCAAGGTAATCAAGGTATTCAAGTCCAGGTCGTTCTTGCTTTGCAAGAAGGACATTCACTAAACTGGGAATACTTTCTTCGATAGTAAGCCGAGCATCGGGACCTCCCAACTCGGTTTTGACCCACCCCGGAGCCATGACCACCATCAGACGCGATGGGCCCTGACGAGCGGCGAAGCTTCGCATGAACATGTTCAGTGCAGCTTTAGTACCCCGATACACCTCTCGCAGACCCGTTTCATTGTTGCTGATGCTTCCCTGACCCGATGATATCACCCCGATAAGACCCTTTGGAGTCACATGATGTGCCAGGCTTTCAACGACACGCATCGGGCTGAGCGAATTCGTGACCATGACATGGATGAAATCTTCCGTTGATACATCTCCAATGTTTTGGGTTGGGTCACGATTCGTTGTTCCGGCGTTCACAAACAGGACGTCGAATGTCTTGCCCGATACTGATAAGCGGTTGTCGAGCGCCTTGATTTGATCGGGTTCGCAAATGTCCAATGTCTCAATGTCAACCCGGCCGGTGTACTTGTCTGCAAGGTCGTGGAGTAGTGTTCGTGACCCTTCGCGGACTGTGCCGACGACATTCCATCCCTTTTCTAGGAATTCTGCTGCCATGGCGTGGCCGAGGCCACGCGAAGCGCCGATGAGAAGGATTGTGGGTGAGGGGGACATCTTGCTAAGTTTTTTGAGAGTTAATTAATGTAATTGAAGGGATTGGGGGCCTTTTAAATCCAACAGAGTCGGCTCGGCATTTTCTAGTCCCAGGTTATGTCCGGGTCGGAATTCCCTTAGAGGAAGCCGCCGATGTCTCGTATTAGGAAACAATCCCTAGCTGTACCTAGGAATACTTATAACATATTGGATTTCAGCGAGTCGTGGAATACTGAAAATACAGCCTCTGGGCTGATAGACAACCCCACCAAGATCATGGTTGGGGCCCGCAAAGTCTCCGTACGGCCCGCACCCCATCAAATATATATCTCACTGATGCAACTTTAGCAAACCCAACATACTAATTTCAATTAATTACTATACCCTTAATTTGCATCGTAAACATATATGCTATGTAGGCAAATGACAACAGTTTTTAATTTATTTTGATTGAAGTTCATATACGCCTTTAGCCGATGTTTTCAAGTACTGGCATTAAAGTGAGATATTAAAATGAACAGAGGATGGAAGTATACAGAGTAGTGTTTATAAGACTAAAAAGCAAGAAGGCTCCACGGTTACTTTCAAAGTGACGTCATTCACACGTAACCAACTATCAGATGGAGATAACTGGAGATAATAACGGGTCTAAAGGAAATATCTTCTGTATTCCAACTTGTTACCAAGTTGTTAAAGGATTTAAATGTCAAGTCTTATGGAGGAAATATCCCCAACATTTCTTATTATTGACATCCAACGACAATTTCCTTTCGACACAAAGCCGTTACGGTAGCTTTTTTTCCCCCAGCGGCCCAACATGGGATTCCCACCCTTCACCCTAAAGCATCACACTGCTCCCTACCCAGGGATTGATCCGAACCTGCCAGCTCTGAGCGCCGCCGGCAAGACAATTCTCATCACTGGCGGCGGATCAGGAATTGGGCCTCGCATTGCCGAAGCATTTGCAGTTGCAGGAAGTACACAGATTGCTCTTCTCGGACGGACCCAATCAACCCTCGAAAAGACCAAATCAACTCTCGAATCCACACATAGCGGATTAAAAGTCCTCACCTTCGTGGCGGACATCACCGATGCTTCGGCTGTCAATGCTGCCTTCCAGGATACGAAAGCAACGTTCGGACCCATTGACATATTCATCTCAAACGCGGCCTTCCTACCGGAGGCAGTGCCAATCAAGGATACGGTCGTTTCGGATTTCGCCCAGGGACTGACCACTAATGTTGTGGGGAACCTTGTGACTACACAGGCCTTCCTTGCGACCGCCGCCCCGTCCAATGCCGTGCTCATCCACGTCACTACCGGTGCCGTTCATATGCCCTCAATGCCCAACTATTCAGGTTACCAGACGAGTAAGACTGCGGCGCTGAAATTCTTTGAGGCCGTACAGGCGGAAACCCCGGATCTGCGCGTCATGAATGTGCATCCGGGCTATGTAGCTACGGATATGAATGCCAAGTCTGCCAAGGGGGGGCTAGGCAGTGACAACTCCATTCCATTTGATCACATCGACTTGCCAGGCCATTTCATGGTCTGGGCTGCTAGTCCAGAGGGGGCCTTTTTAAAGGGGAAGGTCATTTGGAGTAACTGGGACGTGGAAGAGCTGAAGCAGCGGAAGGAGGAGCTCCAGGGTGGGGAAAAGTTGACCATGGTATTGAATGGATGGCCACGGAATGATTAAATATCCTGTTTTCTTTTACTACGAGCGATTGTGTCCTTATTTCTTGGTTCAATTAACTCTTCGCGTCAAAATGGGTTCAATGCAACGTATGTATGGAATTAGTTGAAACGTTTGCTATATGCCTACATAAGATCCATGGTCGCTTATAGCGATGTGCATGATTGAGAATTGGCTCCATCACTGGCCGTCCATTACTACGCTAAATGACAGTACTTACCATGGTACTTTGTTGGGTTCAGGGTCTGGAATTGCACACCTTAGCCCCTATTTTGTAGCCCTTGGTTGCACGGGCTTTCTCGCTTGTCTCTGTATATCATGACGCCACTGAGATGTCCGCGGGTGGTCCAGAATTACCGCTGGTTATAAAAGAGTGACAAGGCCGTAGAAGTGGACGACTATTCTTGTTGCAATTTTGGGGAAAATAAAGATACGCGCACAAGTTCAATTCAGCTATCCAATAGATGTACAGAATCTAACTACAGATGATGTATAACATCTATAGCACAAGTAGCCTTCCCAGCTAGGGAGATGGCAGAGACAAGGGATGGTCTTCCCTACTCTCAAAAAGAAGGTCCAAAGTGTTCTGGATAACCTGCGACAACTTCTCAACCTGCTCTGGGGACAGAACTGATGTCCAGTAAGACATGGAGATGGAAATTCCATCATCACTGTCAACGACGTAAACAGAAATTGCATACTATAGCAGTAGAAAAAGAGATTAGGCCTCGTACTCTGTTTAGAAATTGCAAAGGAGATTGACTTACCTCGTCTGTCATATACCCTCGAACTTCATCAAATTGAATGCTGCTCTGGGAATAGGGAGCCTGGGCGGTCACGCGCTGCATATTGAGGAAGGTGTTAAAGAGAGGCTGCCCCGCCTTCACTGCGTGATGTATATCCTCCAACGAGCAGTTTTGATTCTAAGAAGGAACGAAGTAACATCAGTATTTGCACAAAGAGCTTATATGAAGATGTCTGGGTTCTTACCATCAAGGTCTCGGCGAGATTTGTCTGTAATTCAAGGAACAGGCTTTCAAGCTTGGTTTCCTGGCTCATCTTTACTCGGCAGGGCATGAGGTTGATCAATGGGCCGGCGATGGCATCCACCGAAGGTATGGGTGCGTCCCGACCCGAGAGCATAAATCCAAAGCAGACATCATCCAAACCGGTATACTGGCGCAGGACCAGAGCCCAGACTGCCTGGAACAAATTGGCTGTGGTGATTGCGTACTTTTTGCACAATGCCCGGACTTGATCTGTCTTGTGGAAGGGAACTGTAGCACTGGTGAAGGACTCGGAAATGTGTCCATCTGCGGATGGTGACTTGTTGTTCGAGGGGAACTGGCATGATTGAGCGCTTGTCAGATGGTCCCTCCAGAAGGCTATTGTTTGGGAACGGTCCAAACTGCCCAAGTAGGAGATAAAGCTCCGGTAGGCTGGGCGCGGTTCTTTGGATAGGCCTTGTGTGTATGCCACTTGAAGATCATGCCACAAGATGGAGAGTGAAACAGCATCATACAGAGCATGACTGATTTGCAATTGTAGCAAAACTGCCCCAGAAGCACTCTCGGCCAGTACTATGCGATGTGGAGGCGTGCCATCGGCTGGCATATCAGGAAGTAACTCGAAATCGTTGACGGCGTCAGGCGACTCTGCAAGATAGGAAATGGGTGCCGAGAAATCTCGAAGGACCACCTGGTAAACCTGACCAGACTGAGTACCAGTCTGGAAGAAGGTTCGTAGAATGGGATGCATATTGACAACCTGTTGCCAGCTCTTGGCAACATCGGCCATTTGCACTGGTGGTGAGTCCTTTGACGAAGGCCGAATCTCCACCACCCAGTTGGCATACCACGCATTTCTTGTCTGTTGAACGCGGACGATGCTTTCTTGCATCGGAGATGCTGGGTATATATCTTCCACATTGGCATTATTAATACCCAAGTCTTCTTGAATACTCGTGGTATGGGAGGTAGTCAGCCCAGCAATCCTTTTATCGGTTGTTGGAGTGTTCGAAACCGTGCAACAAGACGCGAGAGCGCTGATTGAGGTCTGCTGAAACACGTCTCGTAACTGGGCAATAATACCATTTGCACGGCAGCGAGCCAAAAATTTCATCGCAAGCACCGAGTCACCGCCCAGAGCGACGAAACTCTGGTCCATGCTTATGCTTGGAGCAGGCAAGTCAAGAATCTGACTCAAAAGTTCCAGAAGTGTTTTTTCCATCTCAGATGAAGGTGGTACGACGGCCGTGGGTTCCTGAGAAGAAGCCACAATGTCTGTGTATGTTTCTTGGTCCATTGAATCCAGCCATTGATTGACGAGACGACGATTGGTTTTCCCAGACGGGAGAGTAGGAATCTTGTAGACAAATATCCACAGGTTTGGCACCATGTGCTGTGGTAAGTTCTTCTTTAGGGAGGTACTGAGGTTGACAAGTTCCCGACGAGCTATAGAGAGTTGTTCTTGATCCGTGATGCGATGAATGCTGCTATCTTGATGCATTGACGGCTGTTCATCCCCAACGGCCATCAAAACAACCAGGCGCTGCTTAAGTCTGCCGCTGGACGGAACGGCGGCCACAACGCCGCTGATGCGGGCATCCGCACCAGAAGTGACTTGATACTCAATCTCGCCCAACTCAATTCGCTGCCCATGAATCTTGGTCTGGTTGTCTTTGCGGCCCATGTAGGTAATGGTACCATCGGCGTTCCAGCGGGCAAGATCGCCAGTCTTGTAGAAGCGACACGGGAAATTAGTGTCGGATCCTCGGGCCCAAGAAGGAGCGTCAATGAACGCGGCTTTGGTCTTGACCGGATCTTTCAAATAACCTCGACCAACAAGGGGCCCTGTGATACAGAGCTCGCCAATAGCCCCCACGGGAACCATCCGTTGGTCATCCTCAGCATCGACAATCCATATGTTTGCCTGCTTCGGCTTCCCGATGATAGCTCCACGGTCACCTATTTTCAGAGCCTCTGTCGCGCAACAAGCAATGGCACATTCACAAGGCCCGTAAGAGTTGAATATTTGGACATTGTTGTGCCATTTCGCGATCACATCATCAGTCAGTAACTCGCCACCGAGAACCACGGTCTTCAGGTATGGTAGGTTCCTGGGTTCCAGCATGCGTAGAACAGTAGGGGTCAAATCGGCCCAATTAACTTGAAGTTGATTTAATGCACCAGGAAGATCCGCCAATCGGTCATCGTCCGAGATAATGCAGACACAAGCACCACGAGTCAAGGTCAAAATAGTCTCCTCGATACTGACATCGTAGGCGTAAGAGGCGAAATGTGCCACCCTCGACTCACTCGTCATGTTGGGCATCGCATCGCCAGTCGAGAAAGCATAGAGATTGCGATGCTCAAGTACGGCTCCCTTTGGAGTACCCGTACTGCCCGAAGTGTAAACAATGAAAGCTGCGTTGTCTGGCCTGACGCCCGTGTCAGGCACGCCGTCAACTGGAGGCTGGGGTAGTCTGTCGATAGTATCTTGTGATACGGATATCACGTTTGCATCTAGAGCTTCAGCAGATTTGGACTGTGCCGCCGAGGTAAGAATGAACGATGCATCAGTATCTCTGATAATCAGTTTACGGCGCTCCGTGGGTAAAGCGGGATCAAGTGCGACACATGCGGCACCTGCCTTCAACACAGCAAGCATGGCGACAATTGCCCATGTAGACTTTTCAAAGCAGCACGGCACAATAACCTCTGGGCTGACGCCAAGCTGAGATAAATGATGAGACAGTTTGTTTGCCATCTCATTCAGCTGGTGGTAAGTAAGAGAGCCTTCGTTGGAGGTCACGGCAACGGCGTGGAGTGGCTTGCTGGCAGCTTGCTCTTCAATGAGATGATGCAGTAAACGGCCCTGATCTGGAGACAGAACAGGGTTCCACTGGGAAAGAAGATCGCGGTCTCTGTCACTGAAGAGATCCAGCTGTCCAATCTTCTGTGACGGCTCGGCGAGAGCCTGGTTGATGGTGGCTAGAATCGTATCCGCAAGAGCAGAGGCCTGGCCTGCGGAGATGGAAGATGTCCAATAATGAACCATGACATGAATCTGTGTCTTTGATTCCATCACATCGAGACTCACATCATACTTAGAAGTTGTTAGTTTATGCAACAAAAACAAGAAGCGCTGACAGAATTAGTTTGACATACCTCTGTAGGATCATGAAGTGCAATATTGCGAAGAGTAATACTTCGGTTTGCGGTCGAGTCCTTTTCATCGACAAAGAAGGCAGTTGTGGCCCGCTGAACATTTACAAGAGTATTGAAAAGAGGCGTTTGTCCACCGTTGACGGCATGGAAGATTTCCTTCAAAGAGCAGTGCTGGTGAGGCAAGGACTGGGTATGATCATTACGTGCTTCCTGAATAAGGTCGATGAGTTTAGTAGATTTGTCCAACCTTGCACGGAAGACAAGCATATTGATGAGGGGCCCAAGGATGTTGTGTACATCAGGTACTGGGGCATCCCGACCAGAGGCAAGGTATCCAAAACACACAGAATCAGTGCCAAGGACAGATCCCAGCACAATTGCCCATACTGTCTTGAATATGTCGGCTACCGTAATCTCGTGATCCTCGGAAAGCTGGTGTAAGGATGCTGCTTGTTCACCCTCGATCATTCGGTTAATGCAGCCGATTTGTGCGGGTTCAGTGACGGTGCCCACTGGTGTCGAGATGGGGAAATTCGTAGGAACCACACCATCGAGGTAGTCCCTCCAGAATTTCATACCGACTTGGGAAGGACGGGCCCGGATGTATGAGATGAAATCGCTGTATAAAGGCGGAGGACCCGAAGAGAGAATCTCGTCGTATGCGAGGCACAGATCCCGAATAAAGACGTGCATCGAAGAGCCATCTTCAAGAGCATGATTAATTACCAAGTGGCAATAAACTTCGCCTGATAAGATCCGGCCAATCAATACTCGATACGGAGGTCCCTCAACCGCGTAATCATTTTCTTCTGCAAGAGCTTTGAAGTCGTCAAGGGTATCGCAAGTGTTCACCTCGAAGACTGGAACGGGGGCTTGTTTCAAGACCACCTGCACAAAGCTGTCATGGCCTGAAATTCCATCAATAAAGATTGTTCGCAAGCCCTGGTGGCGTTGAGAAAGCTTTCCAAATGCCTTCACCAATTTTCCGATATCAATAGGCTGGGCCGATTGGGGTACTACCTGGAACAATGCGCGGACGCGGTAGTGACTCTGCATTCTGGCCTGGCTGATGAGAATGCCTTCCTGCATGGGCGAACATGGGAATATGTCTTCAATCTCAACGGGGCTCTCGAGTTCCAGACGGGAAATGCAATCAGTGACAAATTGGTCCAGCTCCGCTCCCTTGACCGACAGCAGGGCGAAACGGGCGTATCGGTCGCGGGAAGATGTAGATACAACTGAGCCAACATCGGCGGCCTGTTGTGCAAGCTTGCGAATTGTTCGTAGCTTCAATATATCATGCACAAAGACATTAATACCCGCAGTCCTGGCACGAGAAACAACTTGAGTTGCAGAAATGGAGTCACCACCCAGGCTCAGGAATGACTGCGTCATGCCTATGGTTGAAGCAGGGCACTTTAGGACTGTTGCCCAGATCTGTTGCAGCGCAGACTCTGTTTCGTTTTCAGGGTTGGAGTGAGGGCTTGAGCTTGCTGTGGATAGAGCAAGGATTTGTTGGTATCTCTCGTCATCCATTGCCTCCAGCCACGACATGACAGCACGTTTGTCAAGCTTGCCGGAAGTGAGAAGAGGCATTTTCTCTACAGGGATCCAAAGACTGGGGATCATGTGCTTTGGAAGCTGCTGCTCGAGAGTAGCTCGAATGACCCCCAGCTGCTGAATAGCGACCTTCTTATGGTCGGGCTGATTGATAATTTTGAGGACGCTATCGTTGCCGTGGCCATCCCGGGAGGTTGCCAGCTCTTGCAAAGATAGGACAGCAACGAGACGGTCGCGCAATTGAGGCGACGAACGTGGAAGGCGGGCCGCAGCATGTTCGATACATGGGATGCGAGCCATGTTCAAGTCGATATCCCCAAGCTCAATCCGATGTCCATTGACTTTGACTTGAGTGTCTTTGCGTCCCTGGATGCAAAGAGATCCATCTGCGTTGTACCGCGCCAGGTCTCCGGACTTGTAAAATGCTTGATGGCTTCCAGTATCTTTGTCCGCCCATGCTGGGTCATGGATGAATGCTGCATTCGTTTTGACTGGATCATGGAGATATCCTCTCGCCAACGTTGGCCCACCAATGACGATTTCACCCCGAGCGCCGACTGGAAGGAGTCGGTCGTGGTTGCGAGGATCAACGATCCACAAAGAACAGCCGAGTCTACCTCCAATATTGGATGTGTCTGCTGTCGTTTGTACGCCAATGTTTGCATTCGTCCAAATGGCACATTCTGCAGGGCCGTAACTGTTGATGAGACAAACACCAGGTCTGCTACCCCATGTAGCCAGGTTGTTCTCTGTTGCATGTTCTCCTCCTAGAACAAGGGTTTTGACCGTGGGCACTTGCTCTGGCCGTACAAGAGCAGCGACAGTTGGAGTGAGGAACATCCAGTCAACTTGCATTGCGTTAATAGCATCGGCAAGGCGGTTCAGCCTTTCAAATTCTGAAGGAACACAGATACAGGCACCCACCATGAGCGTGGTAAATGTCTCAGCGATGCTCAAGTCGTAAGTGTATGAGGCGAACTGTAGAACCCGAGATCCCCGCTGGATACGTAGAGGTGGGGCGTGAGAACGAGCACTCGAGCAAAATGCGCCATGCTCCACAACAATACCCTTGGGAGTACCGGTGCTGCCCGAGGTAAAAATGACGAAGGCAGGATTGCCATGATGGACTGCCTGCAGCACTGTAGAGACACTTCGATCTGTAAATTCGGCTGAGGGGACGAATATATCTTCGTTGACTGGTAGCACATGGGGAACTAGATCGATGAATTTGGATGCATGTGAGGGTGCCGCCAAAATAACTCTTGCCTCTGAGTCGCGTATGATACTTTGTAGCCTCTGGATTGGATGAGATGGATCCAGGGCCACACAAGCTCCACCAGCTTTGAGGATGGCAATCATCACGATAGGTGTTAGAGGAGATTTATCCATGCAGAAGGGGACAAGTGATTCCGGACCAACGCCCAGATTGACCAGAGTCTTTGCCAGTGTATCTGCCATCTCGTTAAATTGTCGATAGTTGAGTGACATTGATGGTTCTGTCGAATATACCGCTGGCGCCTCTGGGTTGATCAGTGCCTGTTTCTCAATGGTGTGATGTATGCATTGATGGATAGGTTCTGGAATGTTCGCGTTCCAGGACTGGAACTGCTGCATTTGTTCTTTGCCCACCATTGAAACAGCTGATATCAACTGGTTCGGATTCTCAAGAACGGAGGCAATTGCAGTGCGAACGGTGAAAGCAAGGGATTGGGCTTGCGGCTCAGATAGGCAGCGGACCCAGTAGCCCAGAGAAAGCCAAATTTCACTGCCATCTTTAATGTTCATGGCAATTTCATACTAAAACCATGTAAGTCAGCAATTATCATAATCGAAGAACAGTGAAAAGCATGATGCGGGAGATTGCTTGCCTCGCTGGGGTCATGACCCATTTCTGGGACAAAGGAAATATCACCAGTGGCTGCCGTATCTTCAACAGTAGATCTCTGGACATTAACAATTGTGTTGAAGAGAGGAGTTGCCTTTAGACCCAAAGCATGGTGGATCTCTCCAAGAGATGTGTGTTGGTGCGGCCAACTACGGGCGAACTCATCTTGCATAGTTTCCATTAGGCCAAGAACTGTCTTCTCAGACTCAATTTCGGCCTGCCGAATGATCATAGTAATCATTGGGCCAAGGATTTCGTGTGCACCCTCAACCGGAACATCCCGGCCGGAGGCCAGGTATCCAAAGGCGACGCGATTGCAATCGGTGCCCACAAAGCAAGACAACACCAATGCCCAGATAGTTGACATAAAGTTAGCTAGGGTGGTGTCATGCTGTCGGCAGAAATCGTGTAATTGGTTGCTCTGGCCATCTGGTAGTTCGACTTCAATTGTCTTGAACGCCTGTGAGTCGGCGGCCTCTCGCTCATTAAGAAGAGGGAAGTGACACGGGCTTGTCTCCTTTAGCATCTCTGCCCAGAAGGTGAGAGCCTTATTTTGAGGAAGAGTTTGCAGGTGAGCGATGAAGTCGCTGTACTTGGGTCCAACCGGAGAGAGTTGGTCATTGTATGCAAGGCCAAGATCTCTGATTAACAGGGCAGTCGATGTACCATCGATCAGCGCATGGTTGATATCCAGGCGCAAGTAGACATCATTGTTTGGAACCTGACAAATAGTAAATAGGTATGGGAGGCTGGGGGTCTTGCCACTGGCTTCCTCGTGTGAAGTGACTTGCTTGAGATCCTCAAGCGTGTTGAAGTCGACCAATTGTACACCTGAAGTAACATGCTTGAGAACTAGTTGGAGGAAGGATGTGCCATCACGATGCGATTCGGCAAAATGAGTGCGCAGAATGTCATGACGAGAGATCACTCTCTGAGCCGCCAGTTTTAGCTGATTCACGTCAACCGCTGATTGAGACGAGTTTATAGCCACTTTCCAAACACCCTGCACATCGTAGACTCCTGATGTTCGTGATTGACTCAGTAGAATGCCTTCCTGCATGGGCGAGCAGGGGTGAATAGACTCAATCTCATCGGGGCCTGACAAGCCAAAGCTAGACACGCAGCGCTGGACGACACTCTCAAGGGACACATCCTCGCCGAGATCCAACAGGGGAAATTCAGCTTCTCTTAATTCAGGGGTAGCCTGAGCAAGACTCTTAGCGGCGTGTGTAAGGATCGACTCGCACTCATGGATCCAAGATTGAATTTCTTGCTGGCGTGGCATGCTTGAGTCGTAAAGGAACTGGAAGCACAGTCGGCCATGCTGCACAATGGAAGTGACTTCAAATAACGCTGATCTGACTGCGCTTGAAGAAACATCAGATGCATCTCCAATAGCAAGCTGCTCTAAGAGCCGGTCGCTTGTAGCGGTTCCAGTTGTACCGAGGTAATTGAATAGGATCTCCATGTTCTCATGTCCTGTGAATGTCGAAATGCCTTGATCATTTAGATACCGAGAAGCAAAATAAGGCCAGCCCTTGCCAGGCAGCGATCGACGATAATCCCTGACAGAGCGCAAAGTGTGACGAATCTGTGAGTCTTTGTCGTGATGGCGACCGGTCGGGCGAATTGCGATGGGGAACATGGTTGTGAACCATCCCACAGTTCGGGATAGATCAATGTCCTGGATTAGAGTTTCTCGACCGTGGCCTTCACTGAATACAACGGGCAATGCGCGATCACTGAAGGTACTTCCAAACGAACAGAGCAATAGGGATAGAAGAATCTCCACCGTTTCAGTGTCTAGGGCATCGTTGGCCTTTCCAAGAAGGAGGGCCGTAGTATCCTTGTCCACGGTGAACTGCGCTTTGATAGTTGTGCCATAAGTTTGAGGTTGTTTGGAGATACCCCAGTAGTCAGTAAAGTCAACGCTTGGTGCGAAGCTAGCGGGGAGAACCTTTTCAGGGGATAGCTCCTTTCTGGTATGTTCCCTTTGAACAGACTCCCAACTCTGGAAGGACATAGGCCTCGGGGCCAAGGGCTGGTGTAGTAAGAGTGCCTCTAGATCGTCGACCAAAACACGCCACGAAACTAGGTCAACAGCCAAGTGGTGGACTGCTATGAACAACAGCTGTTCCGTGGCGCCATTTGCTGTCACATCCAGGAGACTTGCACCGATGAGTGGGCCATGCTGTATATCTAACCCATCTTGAACCGAGGTAAAGATGGATCGTGCCTCCTCCATAGATGTATGCGCGAAATGCGAGAAATTCAAAGATTCTAGCGACGTTTCGATAATGCGTTGGGACCAGAATCCGGCGGAATTTATCGAGAACCGTGCGTTGAGCATTGAGTGACGCTCAATCAAGGCTAACAAAGAGGACTTGACTTCTCCTGGGGTAAAGCTTCTGCTAACGCTTCCCCCAAAGCGTAGAAGGCAACTCTGATTGAAATGGTTCAAGCCATTTGGCTGACTTTGGAAATGCATGCTTTGGATCGGTGTTAGAGGGAAGTCAGTGTTCTTGGTCTCTGGGACAATTTCAAGTCGCTGCTGGGGAACTTCGGTGGAGTTATCTATGCCTTTCTCAACCACAAGCGCTGCGAGGGCTGCAATGGTTCGAAGCCGAAGAATATCGTGCACTGCAAGAGGAATTCTCTCAGATTGAAGCTGTGCAGCTGCGTGCATCGCTGCGATAGAGTCTCCACCAAGACGGAAGAATGACTGGTTTATATCCACCATTTGCTCTGGCAACGAAAGCACTTTGGACCAAATGGTGACTAATTGGGTTTCAATTTTACTGTTTGTCTGCTTTTCTTCTTGACCCAGCGCAAGAACTCTCTCACAGGTGTCCGCGTCTAAGCCTTCTAGCCATAACTGGAGCTTCTCGCGGTTGAGCTTGCCGTTGGAGAGTACGGGAAGGCCGGCCACTGGAACCAAAGCATGGGGCAACAGGTTGCTGGGAAGAGAGGTGTGCGACTTTTTGCGAAGGTCGCGGACGTGGGCAGCAGACGCTTTTGTCACACCGACCGCCAATGGTTGGCCATGGGGTGTCAGAGAGCGTTCCACGGAGAAGAGAACAACGAACTTGCCCAGCCAATATCCATTGTTCGGCACAAGAGCCACCGAGTGGCTAACAAATTGATCAGATATCTGAGCTTCAATTTCTGCGAAGCTGATTTTCTGAGTGTGGGCCTCGACTTGAGACTCCTTGGGTCCAAGACTAGTCAACGTGCCGTCCACATTGTACCGAGCAATGTGTCCAGACTTGACGAAACGGCGACTGCATTCCGCTCCAGGCATAGACTCAGATTGCACCCAGGTGGGATCGACCAAAAATACCTTTTCTGTCTGGTTAGGATCAAAGTATCCGCGTGCCAGTAGTGGTCCCTCGATAAGGATTTCACCGGGGCAACCTATAGGTGCCAATTTGTTGGAATTCTTGGAATCCACAATCCACATCAGAGAACCAGATGGCCTGCCCAGAGTGTCATCTAGGATATCGGATGCACTGAGCAAGGCCGCGGAGCAAGAAGTAGAGCACCCGGCTGGCTCATAGCCTGTGATAAGGTTCGTGTGGTTTGCCCACGAACGAACAAGATTCCGGGGGATTGGCTCGCCCTCGAGGGCCAGAGTGCGCAAAGAGATCTCAACTGGGTCAAGCAAATAAGCCACCGTGGGTGTCAAGTGTGCAGTGTTTACACGTTGCGATTTTACAAAGGTTGACAGGTTGCCCAGTCGCTCATAGCGAGATGGAATGCAGATAGTAGCTCCAAATGCCAATGTAGCGAAAATTTCATGGATGCTTGTCTTATCGGTGTAATTGAAAAATTGCAAGACACGGGCCTCAGTCGACAAAAGTTCTTTCGCGCCTCGGTAGTGTATGCCTGTGCTGATGGAAGAATGCTCCAGAATAATGGCATCCGAGATGCTGGTCAGATTGGAGCCCAGGACAACAAATGCAGCGCTACTCGGCTTCACAGGGGAGGTATTGGTGACAGGAAATTGTTCGAGGTGGTTTAGCATGGCTGACACACTTTCTCCTGTCCCATCCAACGTTATAACCCGTGCAGTTGACTTTGCAAATCTCGCGACGTATTCACTGTGGCTGACAGCCACACTTGCCCCAGTTGACTGAATGATGCTGGCAACCTGAATTTCGGTATACGCTGGAGACAACGCCACACAAACACCGCCGGATTTCAGAATCGCGTACATGACGACAACTGCCCAGGCAGAGTTGTCGAAACAGAAGGGCACCATTATATTTGGTCCCACGCCCAAGTAGGCTAGGTGCCCCGCGAGCCGAGAAGAGAGAGATTCCAACTCCCGGTATGTCATAGACAAGTCTGTCGTGCAGATGGCCTGTGTATCTGGCTGAGACTTAGATTTGTCCTCCACCAATTTGTGCACGCACGATTTGATTGCCACGGGCGCTTCAGGGACCCAATTCAAAAGACGCGTCCTATGCGCCTCGCTGAACAATTCCACATCCGCAACAGTCCCGGAAAGATTGTCCAGTAGTGAGGTCAATGCCTGTACGGCTGTATGGCCAAGGAGTTCCGCATGATCATTTGATAAGCATTGTGGCCAGTAGTGGAGTGAAAGTGTGACCTCTTGGTCAGTATGGTCCACATTTAAAAGGACGTCAAACTGCAAGGTGTTAGTCGAATTGATTAGAAATTTAAGTCTAGCTTAATAGTATAGACCTAAGAAGCCGAACAGGACTTAATTGGAAAACTCACTTCGCTGGGGTCATATACATTTAAGATGTCAAATTGCATGCTTGTGGAAGACTGTTCCAATGATGACCCTCCTCTTTTCACATTAACGGCTGTGTTGAACAACAGTCCACGTTGTCTTCCTCCATCTGTGGCATGCTGGATCTCAGACAAGGAGCAATGTTGATGGGCAAGACCATTCAAGAATTGATCATTCAGATTCTCAATCAGTTGGGTCAGAGGCATTCCAGGGTTCAAATCAACTCTGGAAACCATCATAGTAATGAGGGGGCCGATGATCGATTCGGCCTGAGGTACTGGGACGGCGCGGCCTGATGAGAGATATCCAAAGCATACCGAATCGGCACCAACATATGCCTGAAGAACAAGTCCCCATACTGCACTGATAACGGTTGCAATGGTGGTGTTTTGCTCTTGGCACAAAGTGTGAATTCGTCGGACGAGTTTACTGTCAAGGTCTCGCCGTGTGTGTTTGAATTCGGCTGGCTGCTGATTAGCGTGCGGGTTGAGTGATGGGAACTTACACGGGCGAACATCTTCCAGCAATGTCTTCCAGTACTCCAGTGCGGTGTTCTTGGGATATCTGGCAAGATAATTGATGAAATCACCATAGCGTGGTGGGGAAGGATCGATGGGCAGTGCACCATCGTAGGCCAGTAGAATGTCACGGAGTAAAACTTGAATTGACTGGCCGTCAATCAACGCGTGGTTGATTCCAAGTTGACAGTATATCTCCCCGGTCGCCGATTCAACAATGGTAAATCGGTAGCCAAGTTTATGGGAACCATCGACACCGGTGGGGGAAGACGATGAACTGAGCAGGTCCTGAAGATCTACACAAGTAGTGCGGACAATTGGCGACGCAACTTGACGCAGGACTACTTGCACGTACGGCGTTGCTCCCTCGCACTCCACGAACCAAGTCCGAAGCACCTGGTGTCGCGAAATGACTTGGGCGATAGCCCTCTCAAGTTGTGCCACATCAGTTGGTCCTTTCCCGGGGCGAGGGATGATCTGGCAGGTCGTAGCAGTGTCGTAGAGACCATCCTGCTTTGCTCGGCTGATGAGAATACCTTCCTGCATTGGCGAGCAGGCGTATATATCCTCAACATTCTCTCTGCCGGTATCCTGTTGAATCTTGTTGAACAGAATGTCCAGATCCGGTTCAGATAAGCGGCCCTCAAGAGAAGGGAATGGGAATGAGGTAGCCGAAATCTGTTCTGGGGTCACCAAGCTTGCAGTCGATGAGCTATCAATATACTCTGCATGTTTTGCAATGTCACAAATCGAACGGTATTGCATGATATCGTGCATAGAGACACGGATACCACCATTGCGAAGTCGGGAAGACACCTGGATTGCGGAAATCGAGTCTCCACCCAGACTGAAGAAGGATCGACCTAATCCGATACGACTTTCTGACACTTTGAGAACAGACGCCCACACCTGCCGGATTTGGTCCTCCATTGGGCTGATTATCTCGTCCACAATAGTGGCGTCGTTTTCCAAGGCCTGCATGGCGTCGTATGTCTCTGCGCTGATTCTCTCCAGCCACTGTCCTAACGCTCGGCGATTAAGCTTGCCACTGTATGAGACGGGCACCGTGTCAACCAGTATCCACTCTCGGGGGATCATATAAACAGGCACACGGTCTTCAAGCCAGGTACGCAGTTCGCTAATACGTGCTTGTGCTTCGGGGCCTTGAATGATAGTCATGGAAGGGTCAGAGACACCCCAAGCTGCATCCTCCAGTTTCATCGAGGACAGTATAGCGGTAAGGGTTCCGGCAAATGGACCCTTTTTAACAACCAGACAGGTGGCATGTCTGATTCCATGGTCACTGGTAAGAAGATGGTGTTCGATTTCGCCTAAGTCCACTCGTTGTCCATGAATCTTGGCTTGAGCATCTTTGCGCCCAACCATGACCATAGACCCATCCGCTTCGAACCGAACAATATCTCCAGTTTTATACATTTGACGACCGAGGTTTGGAACCCCCGGCACGGAGCACGCTTGGGCCCATATAGGGTCGACAATGAATGTTGCTTTGTTCTGCTCATCTTGGAGGTATCCACGACCAACTAATGGGCCTTCGATCAAAAGCTCACCCGGTGCTCCCAGGGGCATAAGCCGGTCGGGATTGGCAGGATCAACAACCCACAGCAGTGCTCCTGAAGCTGGGCCGAGCTGACCATTTCCAAACCCTTGAACCTCGGAACGTGAGATAGCAATAGAACACTCAGATGGACCGTAGGTAGCAATTAAATGAACTTTACCCAGCCACATGCGCACAAGACTGTCGAGTACAGGTTCACCGCCTAAGCAGATTGTCTCCAGCCCCGGCACCTCGGCGGGATTTAAAAGGCTGGCCACGGTTGGGGTCAGGTACATCCAAGTGACCCTGAGTTCCCGAATGGTCGCAGCCAAGTTGTTCATGCGCTGATCTTCCGTTGGCACACACAGACATCCTCCAGAGCAAAGGATCAGCAAGATCTCCGCAAAACTAGCATCAAAAGTATAGGATGAGAACTGAAGACCACGCGTTTCGTCTCCGATAGGGTCTAGTTTTCGATGATGCCATAAAGCTGAGCTGAGTGACTGATGCTCCAGAACGCTTCCTTTGGGCACCCCAGTACTGCCGGAAGTGAAGTTGATAAATGCAGCATTCTTGGGAGTGACGGGCGAACTGGAAATTTCACGAGAGGATGCCTGACCCCACAGCGATGGAGTAAGGGATACAATTGTAACTGCCGCGAAATCATCAAACATCTTTGTATGTTTCTCCTCGCTCACTATCACACTTGCTGCTGTGAGTGAAACCATGTCCCTAAGTCTTTGGAGGGGATATGAAGGGTCTAATGCCACACAAGCTCCTCCCGCCTTCAGGATTGCAAGGATTACAACCACAGTCCATGGGGATTTGCTGAAGCAGTATGGAACTGGAGTCTCAGGCCCAACTCCAAGAGTAGCCAAGTGTGCGGCCAATCTAGTAGCAAGATCGTTCAATTCAGCATAGCTCCAATTGACCCCGAAGCCAGTCGTGCAGATAGCGGGTGCGTTGGGCCGGCGGGCAGCCTGCGCCTCGAATTGGTGATGCAGACATTCATCAACAGAATGAGGGAATGATGGGTTCCACTCAAGAAGTTTGAGACGGTGTTGCTCTGAACACAGTTCCAGCTGGTCAATTTGGCGATCTGATGTGCCTAGACAAGCTTCAAATACTTGGATCACCGTTGCTGAAAGATTGCGAGCATGCTCCTCAGAGATGCATGAAGTCCAGTAGAGGAGGTTTGCAGTGATGCCTTTGGCTGAGTCAACCACGTCAAATACAACGTCAAACTAAAGGATAGATTGATTAGCTATTCGTACTTTCATCCGTATACTGAGAAAATTGGGTTTTCATACCTCTGCTGTGCCCGAATAGTCATGGAAATTCAGTTTGATGGCCGATTCTAACCCATCATCATCCGGTTGGACATGTCGCTGCACATTAACCAGGGTATTGAACAATGTCTCACCCTGGAATCCGAGACTGTTGTGTATTTTGGCCAACGAACAGTGCTGATGAGGAAGACCGGCTAGCATATCACTCTGAACGTTCTTCAACAACTCCCCAACCGTGCTGGATGCTGGGAGATCTACTTTCTGTACCAGCATACTCAGGAGGGGACCAACAATGTCCTCAACACCTTGAACAGGGATGTCTCGGCCAGATGACATGTAGCCAAAACAAACTGAAGTTGCATCTTGTCCAATGTAGGCCTGTAGAACTAGCGCCCACACTGTATTCATGAATGTCGATACTGTAAGACCCTGCTCTCTGCAGATTGCACGAAGCTTATTAACCTGATCTTCAGGGAAGACGACATTGATAAGGCCAGATGTAGCAATGGAACGGTCCGATGGAGTAAGATTGGGGAAGTGGCAAGAGCTCACACCCTCTAACTGTGCCTTCCAGAAGTTGTAGGACTCAGTGAGTGGGCTTTTAAGCAAATGCCCGATGAAGCTGCTATAGAGCGGGGCACGGGGTAGCTGAGCGTTGCCGTAGGCGATGGCTATGTCATGGATGAGCGTCTCAAGGCATGATCCGTCAATAACACAGTGGTTCATGGTGAACTTGCAAAATACACCACCAGATGTCTGGCACAATGTCCATTGATAGGGGAAACGGCTAGTATCCAGAATTATGGGTGCCGGTACAATGGTATCCGATGGTGGTAGACTCGATCGGACTACCGGAACACCAAGAGATTTGGCCGTTTTGAAAACCAATTGAACAAAAGGCGAATCCCCCGCATCCACCTCGCAGAATACGGTGCGAAGAATTGGGTGACGTTGAATAACAGCGCCACAGGCCGCCTCAAGGCGATCCAGGTCAACATGGCTCCCAGGTTTGGCTGAAACCTCCCATGTCACTTCGAAATTGTAGAGTTTGCGCTCCGGCTGCCGCAGCTGGCTGACGATCATACCTTCCTGGCTCGGAGAGCAAGGGTAGATGTCCTCGATCTCATCAACTCCCGAAGCTTTCAATTTGGATGACAGTTTCTGCAATATGTCTTCCACTACCTGTGATCCCTGCACCAGTAGAGGGTAATGTTGGTCCTCGTCAGAGTTAATTTTGGTCGAGGCTGGATGCTGCTGCTGATCCATCCGCTGCACATGCGGAGCAAGACCAGCGATGGTGCTGTGATATAAAATATCTCGCACGGTGAAATGAAGTCCCTGAGATCTAGCTTTGCCAGTGACACGCATCGCTGAGATAGAATCACCGCCTAGAGCAAGGAAAGGTCGCTGGAAGCTGATATTGCTCTCTGGAACATTCAACACGTCGCTCCAAAGAGCACGAAGCTGATTGGCAAGAACACTCGTGGCATCATCCTCGAATTCGTATAGTTCTTCTATGGGCAGGTGGCTAGCCTCCGTACTCTGGAAGTCGAGTACAGAATCCAAAGTTGAGCTATCAATGGTTTCCAGGCGTTCTTGGATCTGGCGTCGATCCATCTTACCAGAGAGAAGCACGGGCATTCTCTTAACAGGGATCCAGGTTGAGGGGATCATATATGTGGGCAAGACAGTTGACAGCTTATCGCGCACCTGGGCGAGGAGACTAGCTATCGCAGCTGTCTGTTCGTTTGAGACGATGCTGAAACCAGAATCCTCTCCATTAATATCCTGGTGACCTTCAAGAACCAAAACCGCGACCAATCGGCCTTGCAGTTTGCCCTTCTTGGGGACGTTGACTAATGCTTGAACAGCAGCATTACTGCGTAGAATGTGGTGCTCGACCTCGCCCACTTCTAGTCGCTGACCATTAACTTTGGTCTGGTTGTCTCCACGTCCAATGAATTTGAAAGACCCATCGCTCAGCTGTCGTACCAAGTCACCGGTGCGGTAAAGCCGGAATGGGGTATGGCGTTGTTTTTCCGTATTGTGGAAGAAGTGGGAAGCCCATGTTGGGGGTTCGATAAACGACTTCGCGGTCTTTTCGGGGTCACCTAAGTAACCTTTGGTGATATTTGGGCCTTCAATGATGAGCTCACCAACCGATCCAAGTGGAGACAGAACGTTAAAGTCATTTTTATCCACTACCCAGGCTCTGCATCCTTCTGCATAACCGATAACATCATGCTGACGGCTGTGGTCATTCGAGAAGCAGTGTGTGATGCATACAACACAAGTCTCGGTAGGTCCATACCCATTGAACAGTCGAACATGTCCCAGCCATTGATCTAAACAATCCTGATCGACAGCCTCCCCGACAAGAACAAGCGACCGTAGTGTAGGAATAGATACAGGGTCGAGAAGACGCACAAAGGTCGGAGTCAGCATCGCCCAGTTGATTCCCATTTGATTAATAGCTTTGGCGACATTGTTCATGCGGTCCTCCTCCGATGGCACACATACGACGCCGCCAAACAAAAGTACAGTAAATGTCTCAGCAATAAACGCATCAAAGGTATAAGCAGAGAATTGAAGTGATCGAGTGGTCCGGTCAATAGCCATAGCTCGGCCGTGGGCGTACATGCTGCTACATAGTGCTTCGTGAGGGACCACAACTCCCTTTGGCTTACCGGTTGAGCCAGAGGTGAAGAGAACGTATGCCGGGTCATGATAACTAGCAACTGCAGGCTTTGGTAGAATGTAGGGTCCAGGAGACGTAAACAGACCCTCGTCAACGACAACAAGCTTCTGGTGATCCAGGATAACGGCATCTATCACAGCGAGGGTTGAATGCGAGCCGACAATGACGGCCGCATTGGTATCTGCCAAAATGACACTGATCCGATGTGCCGGAGCAGATGGATCGAGAGGCACAAATGCGGCTCCGGCTTTCATTATGGCTAGCATTGAAACCAGAGCCTGGGGAGACTTTTCCATGCAGATAGGAACGAGCACTCCTGATCCGACACCGGCAGAGATGAGATGAGAGGCTAAGCGATCACTCATCTCGGACAATTCACCGTACGTCAGAGATCCTCCTGGCGAGCAAATAGCTTCCAGCTCCGGATGGAGTGCCGCTTCACTCTCGATGAGATTATGGGCACACGCGCTAATAGCTTCGAGTGGAGCGCCGTTCCATCTCTCAATCTGAGTGCGATGAATATCAGTCGAAAGGTCCAGCGACCGGATCTTGGTGTGTGGGTCTTGCAAAAACTGATTCACGATTGAAAGGAAGCAACTAGCAATATTTTCCACGTCTGCATCACCTAGAAGGCTCGTCTGATAACTGATCCTGGCCAGCAGGTCGTTGCCAGTGTCCTCGACGCTGAGAACCAAGTCATATTCAGCGACAGTGTGAACGTGTACTAAATCCATGTACATCTCCGTGGACGTATGTGCCAGTTTGGAAATTCTCTGAACATCGACAAGTGTGTTGAAAAGACCTCCATTAGACTGCATTTTTCGCTGAATACTAACCAGAGAACACTGTTCATGAGCCCAGCCACGAGCAACATTCTTACGAAGCTGGCCGGCCAGCTCCATAAGAGAAACTGAGTCCTCCTCCATACGCGCGCAAGCGACCATCATGCAAATGTAGGGACCTAGGGCGTCGGTAACATTGGGTAGGGGCACATTGCGGCGGCCGGAGGAGATGTACCCAAACATCACGTCGTCACGCCCCAGATAAGCTCGCAACAAAACAGACCATACAACGTGAAAGAACATAGAGAAGCTGACAGGCGAGGATTTTGAGGTCAGTTTCAAAATCGCGTCTCTGTCCAGTTGAACCCGTTGCTCTTTCCTTTCGAAAGATTTGGTGGGCTTGTCTCCAATACGAAGCTGAGGAAACATCGATGGCTGAACGTTGGCAAGGAAGCTCTGCCAATAATCCAATTTTTGCTCCTCGTCGGGCGAATCATCGAGATGTTGGACAAAATCTCGGAAAGGAGGGCCTCGCAGTTGCGCGTCGGGTTGGTCGTATAGTCGCATGAGCTCGTGGAAAATCTTGTAGCTGGAATGGGCATCTGCTACACTGTGGTGCATTTCAATCTTCAAACAATCGGGACCGTCAGGAGTCTTGCAGAAGACTAGGCGATGCGATACCCCACGATCTGCGGCGCAATCCGGGCTCGCCGCGATGAAGTTGTTCACAGACTCATATTCCACCTGCTGAATTCCTGTTGTGACTTGTTTCAAAACCACTTGATAGAATAGAGTTTTCCCGGATGTGGTCGATACAAAAGTCGTTCGGAGGACATCCGACTGCTGAACAAGATTGCGCCACGCTTCGTTAAGGCGCTGTAAATCAAATGAGTGACCATTTAGTGAGTGCAGCTCGAAGGTAGACCGGATAATGTAGTCGCCAGTACCCTGGGCCTGGCTCAGCAGAATCGCCTCCTGCATCGGCGTGCAGGCGTAAATAGCCTCAACATCCTCCAACTTCAGCCCAGGTAACCGGAAAAAAAGCTCTTGCAATAGTTCGATCTCTTTGACAGTAAATTTCTGCGAGACCTCACTAGAACTAATTGCAATAGCATGTTTGGTTTCCGTTTTATGCGTGTTTAGGATCGTCTCGTCTGGCGAAGTGTTGATGAACGGCGCCATGGTGATGAACTCGTGCAGTTACGATGGAGCCAAAAATTGTAAATGTTTAATTGTGAGCAAGCAGGAATTTGAAGCGCAGAAACATTGAAGAATGTAGTTTTCTTTCCCTGAATTTCATAAACAACTGTTTATTCTACCTACTAACTGTCGATGTATATTTTGGACCCAAACTGGTAATTCCCGATGTTTATCCACTACAGGTCGCCGTAATCTCCACGCCAAAGACATATGGATTCCGAATAGATTCCCGTTGGTCTTATCAAATGAGATTGAGCATATTCACGGAATATGCCCCCGAAGTCATTCAATAGGAAATCTCTACGCGATTGGCCCAGTTCCACTAGCTGCCCCCCGGCCGGAGCCCGGTCGGAGATATTATACCTCCTCACCTGCATGAGGCTCGCCTGAGCTCCGATCGGAAACCTGATTTACCCAGACTCAATGAGACACTTGCCTACTTTCATCGACCAGGGGGGGGGCTTCAAGATGGTTCTTCCAATACACCCCATTTCTCATTCCATCAAGCCTCCCGAGATGACGGATGGCCCCTGTGAGCACACCTCGCTCCTTCCCTCGGCCGAAGCGAACAGCGACTACCACCCCAAAAACACAAACAATGTTTCTTTCTATACTGCCATTACGATCTTCTTTCTCGCCAATGCAGGATTGGGGGCTGCTGTGCCGTCAACTACTAGTATTCTGCAAGATATAATATGCGCCAGCCACTATGCAACACAGCCACAACGGGTCGGAATTGATTGCCAGGCCGGACCCATTCAGGCTAAGTTGACTATGGTCAAGGGCTTGGCAAGTCTATTACTACTCTTACCTGGTATATATATCGAAACATCACATATCTAGTGTTTCTGTTCGAACCCTTTAACTGATATGATAACCAGGTGTCGTTCTAGGTATTCCCTATGGTACACTTGCTGAACACTGGGGTCCAAAGAAAGTCTTAGTTTTGTCGATAACAGGGATCCTTTTTGGCGAGTTATGGTTTGACCTTGTTTGTAGGTGATCCAAATATTTGACTGCTGAATCCCATGAAAGACCAAGCACTAATTAGCGAAGGCTGGTATGGACAAACATGGCCGGTCGAGTTAGTCTACGGCTCATTCGTCTTCTACCTAATAGGAGGCGGACCAGGTATAGGCGGATCGATGCTATTTGTTTTGGTAGCTAATGCCTCGCCCTTAAAACGAAGGTAAGTTAGTATAAGGTCAAATTGACCATTCGGGCCATATCCTTTCTTACTCACACAATTGTTCACAGGGCTTCCCGCTTCTTCTTATTGGAAGCATCCGGTTATATGGGCAGCATTGTGGGATACCTGGGAAGCTCAGCCATCATGGATAAGACTGTCTGGACGCCCATTATTCTTGGCCTTATCTCGGTTTTTCTGGCCTTCTGTCTCACGCTCATTATGCCGGAGCACTTCTCAAGTGATTCGAAAAAAGAGCAGTCGCAAACAATTGAGCCGCCATCTGACACTGATCCAAAAGAAGAATCAGCTATATCACGGCTATGCGCCTCCGCTGTATTTTTAAAGCAGCAACCCCATATCCTGGTGCTTCTATTCGGATATCTATTGAGGTCCCTGGGCACTAGTGTCATGCGACTATTGATTACCTATGTACCCAAGAGATTTCACATGTCGTTCTCTCAGGTACGTAATTTTATATCCACTATAGTTAATCGGCGGTTTAGAATGAGTTCTGATCGATATCTCTAGTCCGCATATTTTGTTTCCCTGGATAGCACAACCCACTTGGTAGTCCTATTGATACTGCCAGCCGTGAACCGCTTCCTTGTCAATTCACGGAGGCCGGCAAGTGTTACCGCAGACCTGGAATTCGCTAGAAGTAGTATTCTCCTATCAGCTTTGGGAAGTGCTGGCATGGCGCTCACGTCATCGCCGATTCCTTTTGCCATAAGTTAGTTTTTGATTCCTTAATCCGATTAGCGACAATTAAGCGAAACTGACTGTATCAATTATAGGCATTGCACTATATGGACTTGGAGGGGGCTACAGCCAATCTATTCGAGCCATCTTGACCGCAACAACACCCTCTAGATACCGGTCTATTACCTACTCCGTGATGGGGATGATGGAAACACTGGGTACTCTTCTCGGGGCTCCACTCTGGCCTCTTGTGTACCAATTTGGTCTAGAACTCGCTAGACCTTGGGTTGCACTTCCATTTTTAGCTACTACAGTTCTATTCAGCACAGTGTTTATTACTTTGTTGGCGGGGAAATTCCGTGTTCCGATCATGCAATGAGACGCCGTGCGGACGACATCTTCTAGCAGCATGGCGATATTCTCCGATTATTATCAATGCCTCGGCAAAAAGGAAGTCTTCAATACTTTGCATAAATTAGCGAAGGGTGTGCCAATAATAAACAGGATAGAAAATAGGGTCTTGAATGAGATAGTAAAATAATAAGCACTACTTCCATGTAAGTATGCAGGGTCCCCCATTTTGTATGGTAAATCAAATGAATACCGAAAAAACGCGTCGTAACATATGGTTACATACTCCGTACATATGTGCATATAAGCACTAGTACTTATTCTAGTATCTTCAGTATCAGCTAAGTCAGCATCGGAATCCTGATAAAAAGCACATGTAAGATGATAAGTGCAACGTGGCAAAATACATATGTAGGAGGCCATAGGCGGTTGATTTTTGATGAAAGTTAACGAGGCTAAGCACCTAACGGGAGGTCAAATTTTGGAATGTTACTTGGTGTTGCGCTAAGCCATTGCTTGACTAGACAGTTTGGCGGAACCCCCCCCTTTTTGAAGGTTTTTGCTTCGTTACCCCATACACCCCATACTTGGCTTCATAGTAGGGCAAGGTGGTCCGGATTTTAATTTCTTATCAATGCTTACTTCCTCCGTAGCCATTACGTCTATAGTTTATCTTTCGTTTAAATGAGTTGGGTTGGCCTACTACTTCCGGTTGGCACTATGCGGAAGCCCGACGGATCTGGCCCTATTTCCCCCTCTTTTGTTTTGAGGAGTATGGAAACCAATGATTGATCAGTCAACTATATACTAGGCTCTGAGGCGTCTGAGGCGCCTGGGCCGAGCCGTGCATATCACGAATTAAGTTACGGAAGAATATCGCAACATCCGCTACCACTTGTGGCCATAATCTTCTTAGAATACGGAGTAGGTATGCGAGGTAATCTAAGAACCCTATGGGTGAAATGTTTACAGTAGTCTGCATAGTGGGGCTAGTTGAGCAGGACATGCTGTGCTGTAGGTTTCTATAGGTCAGTTCGCTTCGTAGCCGTGCATTGTCGACCATAAGCACAAGTACCGTCTGTGCGGATATCTCTGCCTGAATCATATAGAAAAAGTTTGGATTCTGTATTGCATGGCCCCATGATCTACCTGGCAAGCGTGTACCAGTAGATAATACTATTATGTAGATTATAGTTACTAGTAGTGTTTCATGTAGTTAGTCTAGTACCATCCAATCTTCAGATACCGCACATTTCGTAACAGAGTACCACATAACAAAAAGCCACTCCAAGGATATGTATGATGCTTACCTTAAACGTCTTTCGCCAGCGTTTAGGCCCCCAAGAATGGTGCTTGGGGGTAAACGTGATTGCGCTCTATAGTTGAACTAGGTTCGGCTGTGAGCAGTTTCTTCTTCGGCTTTAGCCTGGTTTGGTAATTTCCGCATACCTCTCAATTCTTCCCTGCACCTTCATCCTGGAACAATTGTATAACGACAAGGATATTTTGTTCTGCCTCAACAAATGGCTGAACAACCGATTCCTCGACAGAGATTCCGCAGCAGCTGCACAAACTGTGCAGCGGCAAAAGTGAAATGTAGCACAACACGACCGAATTGTGCGCGCTGTTGTGAAAGAGGACTCACCTGCGTATATGCTCCATCAAACAGATATGGACGGCGACCTGCATGGATGACTAGTGACCCCTACTGCCTTGCACGGGAGACCTCGCCAACTATGCCGGTGGAGTCACCGATGAACTCTGCTTTATATCACCAGCTACTGTCACAGCACAATTTCAATAACTGGATCCCTCAGGTAAATAGCTCATGCAGGTGCTTGACCAAGGGTTTGCTTTTTTCTAATCTATTGCCGCCACAGCCGAATATCCTCCCCGTAGCATCCACCCTAGACTGGGCGATGAGTGGTCTAGACAGGGTTGACAACATGGAACCAAGCGAGATAAACTCGACGGCAACCGAAACGGCATCAGCCCTACCGAACAGACCTCTCATTGGTAGTGTCTCTGGCGATCAGAGCGATCCAAGCGACTCATCCGAGGTATCCCACAGCTGTATCGCTCAGGCCGCTCAAATCCTTGTCGATGCAAGGACCGATCACAAAATGGGGGAACAAATAAGAGATACGGGATCCACAAGGGGAGGCACTCTCTTGGAAGAGCGCTGCAGGGATGCGGAGCTTATCATGGGCGATGTGATCTTCACGAATCGGAAGATTATTGATCAAGTTACTGGGATCATGGGTTGTGACTGTGCGGTAGCCGACTGTCAGATTTTGGTTGTGATCTCCCTGATCTGGTTTCATCTAATTGACAAATACTCCGAAGCCACCACCGTTGCCACGGCAGTGGTCACAACGGGCTTAATCAGCCGACAAAGTCGAGACAGGATAACGGGGTCAGTGCAGGTACTTTTGGGCGAGCTTCGGGGCCTATCATCGCTAGTTGAAACCCTACTAGCCCGAAGTACAGAAGGACGAGCTGCAACCCCGGGACACGGTGCGGTTGGTGTGTCGGTCTCCGTATTCAGGCAACTGCAGGGCGATCTGACCCGGCATCTACGGCAACTATATCTCAAGGTGGAGCAGCTTCAACAAGATTTGGTTTAATTCCGAATATGACATCCTTGTAGCAGGCTAGATAATTGTTTCCACCTTCAAATCTCCGTATTCCGCCCGATACAACTCTCATTCAATGGTCTGATCAACAGTCAAGTTCCCTGTATGGACCGTCTCAAGTGCAGAGATCTGAACCGTATCCATATCCCAGATTCCCTGTAGTGCCGTAATACGTTAACGGGAGTGTCTCTTTATAAATTACATCTAAGAAAAACTTTACCTTTTGGTAATATACAGATTTTTTCATTTGCTCTCGAACCATATCGGGACTCTGCGCAATGCACGCAAATGCATTTCCTCGAGCTTTCGTATGCTCTGCTTCCAGGATGTTTGAGCTTCTACCACTGAGGATCTCCCCGGCAAACGTGTAGAACGGCGGAGCTAAATCAGATGGAATATCGGTGATTCGGCCAGAGCCAGGCTTGTCCCACACTACCACAAAACTGTACATGGAGACATAATCAGTTAGAGATAACTTGCATTAACTTTTAGATAGTTGAGGACTTTACTATTCGTGAGTGACCGAGGATCCTTTGGCGTAAGTTCTACTCCAGAGAAATGGAACCGCCGATTGCGTGCGACGCAAGGAACGAGATATCTGCGACAGCATCATTATAGAAGGTCCGAGAAGAATTCTAAAACTGAAATTCTCAGTGCAGATATGAACAGAATATGTTAAAATATTTAAAAAAAAAACTTGCTATTCATTTCTTTAGGCAACACCCCTTGTACCTAGGTCGTCTATATATATAAGCGCGAGACTCGGGGGATTAGATGTCTATGAAGCGCCACCCAAAAGGGCCATGTTAGAATTTGGCCAACCCATCTGGTTTCCGGAAATTCTAATAGCATCCCCGGAGATAATAGTCGAAATCCCCGAATGCGACATACTTTACGGAGACCGTAATACTAGTTCATTAGAATCTCCGAGTTACATTTGATTAATTTTCTAGTCTGATTGAAAAATACCTTATAAATATTGAAAATTATGTTAGCTGCGAACCATTTCTCTATATTTGAAAAACATAGTAATTTGAGCCATTGCGAAAATGTCTGTTACCGTTGGCAAGCTTATGCGTCCTTCTTCATCTTCTCGCTTTCTGTCTACGAACACATCTACTGCTCTGAATAATCGCATACCTGCACATGTCTTTACAAAGGCCTCTACTCCATCTGAGCTTCTAGTTGTCTTTCCGGACATGCCGAACGTGGTAAGGACAGGCTTCCGGTGGATCCCTCCAAGTAGGATGAGTTGATTCTTACTTTGCCTAAAGCTCGAGCGCCGTATCAAAATTCGACCAAGGCATTCTCCTAACTTTGTGCGGCTCCACAATGAGGGATATGTCTCTTGGGCTGGTAAGGACAACCTCCCAACTTCTTGTCTTATTTATCTATAAAAGTAGTAAAACTAAAGACTAATAAACTCCCAGGACCTCTGTTTGAGAAACATGTGAATAGTACTATTCAGCGCCCATTCAAAGGGTCAGCTATGGTGGTTAATGAGGAAGTCAAGGAAGGATTGATGGAAAAGCTTGCTTCCGATATTTATGTCAAAGAAAAGGTGTGGGACGTGGAAAATGCCCTAGTTGTCCCATTTCGGACCATAATGAGGTGGCACAAGGTCTGAGTCTACATAGAGAGTATATATTTCACGTATACAGAATAAGATATCAGAATCATTTGTTGAAGTTGGCTGAGAGATCATATGACCTCGGTTTGTTTGCTCTCACCATAATAAGTCGTAGATCGCGCAGGTAGTGTTTTCTTCTCTCCTTAATCCATTGAGGTGAGATACTTTCAGATACCGTTATCACATTAGTTTTCTTCAATGTTATTATTTTTTGGGGCTGGTTCAATTTGACACTGGATATCCCAAGTTAGTTAGGGCTCGGCCCGAGACACTCCGGACGGGGAGCGAAGTGGAGAAAGGCGTGGATCCACAAATCTTCTCCTTTCAACTACCTCCTTAACAATATATCATCATGTATAGTACACCAACTACTCCGTACGGATATATCAGTTTGGGAGCATCCGGGAACGCAGGATGCTCCATTTCGCTTTCCGATCCAGGTCCATGACCCGATATCATGATATGCAAGTCCGGCTAATTTTCATTTGGGTTGCAATTGCCATGTGTCAATTCCTACCACGAGGAATGCAATACCATTGCCGATTCCATGCATGTTGATAGATAGCTTGCTTGCATTGCATCTTGCAATTGATGGGAGCACACGCTGTAGGTATCCAGAGTGACCCTTTCCGACTAACACACGATTTGTTGGTCACCCGTAGACATCAAGACAACGTTCACTATCGCTATCGACATCCATGAATGAACCTGTAGCAATTGTGGGGATGGCGTGTCGGTTCGCCGGCGCATCATCCCCAGATCAGTTTTGGGACATGATTGAGCAAGGACGCACCGGTCACTCGCCCATTCCCAAGCGAAGCTTCGACGCAGATGCTTGGTACCATCCATCACGCCAGCGACTCGGCTCTGTAAGTTCGTTTCCTCGGCAATTTATCGTCGAAGAGCAACAGTGTTATATCAAGGATCATGGCTAATCCTTTTGATTTTGGTTAGATTATTACAAAGTCTGGTTTCTTCATTGATGATGTATCACACTTTGATGCTCCGTTTTTCTCGATCACAGCCAGCGAAGCTGCAGCAATGGACCCAATGCAGCGCCTAGCTCTTGAAATATCATACGAGGGCTTCGAAAATGGTATTTTGGTATTGACTGCTGTTTGTGAAATACCACATGCTAACCAGCGAAGCCGGATTTCCGATGCAGAAACTATCGAGAAGCAGAACAGCTGTCTACAGCGGTGTGATGACAGCTGATTACCAGGACATAGCTGAAGGAGACATGCTCCATCTAGGAGATCATGCTGCAACCGGCACAAACAAAGCGATTCTGTCGAACCGTATTTCTTGGTTCTTCGATCTCACCGGGCCTAGTCTGACGCTCGACACTGCTTGTTCCTCGGGACTATACGGCTTGCATCTCGCATGCCAAGCAATCAAGGCTGGCGAATGTGATCAAGTATACTCAATCCGATCAACCCTAAAGAAAAGGATATTACTGCTAACACCCTGTTATAGGCACTGGTAACGGGCACAAACCTCATTCTGCACCCTAACCTCGTTTCACAATACTCTTCGATGAAGATGATTGGTCCAGACGGCATTAGCCATTCCTTTGACGCATCTGCTAATGGGTACGGCCGAGGCGAAGGAATTGCCTGTGTCGTGGTGAAACGACTTTCAGATGCAATCCGAGATAACGATTGCATTCGTGCCGTTATTCGTAATACTGGTGCAAATCACGACGGGAAAACGACAAGTATAACAATCCCTAGCGAAGACGCACAGGCAGCTCTTATCCGCTCCACATATCAGAGGGCTGGTCTGTCGTTGGCTGAGACAGCCTATTTCGAAGCTCATGGAACAGGGACACCACAAGGAGTACATATTCCATACCTCACCCCTACCTTCAAGCCTAACTAATAAATCTAGGATCCGATTGAGATGCGGGCGATTGCGAAGACAATTGGGAATGCCCGAAAGAACGCAGGTCCTCTCTACGTAGGTAGCGTGAAGCCCAATGTCGGCCATACTGAAGGTGCAGCCGGGCTTGCTGGGGTGATCAAGGTGGTCCTGAGCCTTGAAGCTGGGGTTATTCCTTCTGTGACCGGCCTGAGGGCAGTCAATCCGGAGCTTCACCTCTCGGACTGGAACCTCGCCCTACCCACTGAGAACGTCCCATGGCCACAAAAAGGCCCACGGCGCGCTAGTGTGAACTCCTTTGGGTTTGGCGGCTCCAACGCCCATGCTATCCTGGAGGATTCTCTGCACTTTCTGGCATTCCATAATCTGATTGGACATCACTCCACTGCACTGTACCCAAAGGGAACGCTGTCTTTATTCAGTGTCACGCCTAACCCGCGTGACAACCCCAAGCAGCATCGCATTTTCGTTCTCTCAGCCCAGGAGCGGGCAGGTATTGCTCGAGTTGCATCATCATATGCATCATTCCTAGCCTCTAGGTCCTATTCAGAGGAGGATACTCTCTCCGCCATGCAATCACTCAGCCATATCCTGGGGACTCGGAGGTGCTCGCTAGACTTCCGAAGCTTCGTAGTTGCGGATAGCTGGGCGGGGCTCTGCGAGGCTTTGGAGAAGCCACAGGCGCTTCTTGTCGAGCGCGTCTTGCCGAGAAAAAGATTGTCTTTGTCTTCACCGGCCAAGGAGCACAGCGGGCGGGTATGGCCAAAGAACTCCTTTCCAATCCCGTCTTTGAGCAAAGTCTCCAACAATGCCAGAAAGTGCTGGATGAGTGTGGGGCAGAGTGGAAGATATGGGATCTACTTGCGGCCACTGATGGGCACAGGATTGCGAGCCCCCAGTATGCCCAGCCACTTTGCACTGCTATCCAGATTGCCCTGGTCGATCTGTTATTCAGTTGGGGTATCGAGCCCGCCGCTGTACTCGGGCATTCCTCCGGTGAAATAGGTAAGTTCCATACTTCCACAGTCCGTTCAATGAGAATGCGCTAACAGTCTCAGGTGCTGCATACGCCTCCGGAATATTGTCATTGGAAGAAGCCATGTATGTCGCTTACTACAGAGGCTCTTTCTCCACGCTTGTACCGTTCCGCTTAAGTGAGGAAGGAAGTATGCTCGCAGCTGGCATGTCAGAGTCCGAAGCAGAGACGTATCTAGCGGATGCTGGGTACAAGGACTCCGTAACGATCGCGTGTATCAATAGTCCCTCCAGTGTTACACTTTCGGGCACCAAGACGGACATCACTGCGATGCACGAGGCTCTGGTTCAGGATGGAAAGTTTTCCCGCATCCTGAAGACCGGTGTAGCCTATCATTCCCCCCATATGGCTGCAATTGCCCCAGATGTTGAACAAATTCTGCGCCGCCTACCCGAACGCAGCTCGTCTCCACGAGTTCCCATGTACTCATCTGTTGATGAGCAGCTCGTGAGTAGCGATGGATTGAGCAGAAATTACTGGATGGAAAACATGCTCAAGCCCGTGCGATTTGCGGGCGCGCTGCGCAACCTCATCACTGCCGCTTCGACCACAGACCCCTGGAACACCGAGTATAGCACTATATTGGAAATCGGCCCCTCCAAGACCCTGCAAGGTCCGATCAAGCAAATTCTAGCCGCGATCAGCCCACGCATAACCCAACAGCTTCCGTATCGCTCTGTGCTAGTGGCTGGCCAACACGCTACCCACACCGCCATCGAGGCGGCAGGATTCCTCTGGGCGACGGGACATTCCGTCGACTTGGATCGCGTCAACGCCATTCCCGCTGAGGGAGTCGCTTTGGACATATTGCCTCACCTCCCGTCATACCCATGGAATCACGATAATAGCTTCTGGCATGAAACAACGACTAGTCGTGCCATACGTCTTCGCTCACAGCCTCGCACCGATCTCCTCGGGTTACCTGTTGACGGGCAGAACCCATTCGAGCCGAGATGGCGCAACATCATTAGTATTTCAGAGAACCCTTGGCTAGCAGACCACAATGTCGCCGGAGCGTGTCTATATCCCGCGGCTGGCTATTTGGTCATGGCACTCGAGGCCGTGAAGAGCCTGACTGAGGGGACCAAGGTTCTGCAAGGAATTGAATTTACCGATGTCACATTTGAGACTGGACTTGCACTCTCCGATGATGGCTCTGCAACAGAGGTCTCCCTAACCTTGCAAACGCATTCCTTCATCGAGGACATGTTCGAATTTACTGTCTACTCCCATCCGTTGGAACATTCAGTGCGCAGACTCGTGCGTGGGTTCATCGCCGCGATCTGTCACAACAGCCAGTCAGACGAAGTCGAAGAGGAGGCACAAGAGCAAGAGTGGGCATCATCCAGAGCTCATCTGGAAAGTACCCAGAAGCTCGCTGAGAAGAGTGTCAACGTCCGTGAATTCTACGCGCAACTTTCTGATATTGGCCTGAAATATGGTCCTACCTTCCAAGGACTAAATAATATAACCGTGAGCTCGGAACAGGGTGCAGCCTGTGGCACACTAGCCATTCCCGACTCTAGGTCTGTTATGCCCATGGAATTCGAATACCCACACCTCTTGCACCCGGCAACCCTCGACTGTGCATTCCACCTGGCATTTGCTGCGCTTGGGGCCCAAGAGGACATGCGACAGCCGGCTGTTCCGGTCTCGGTAGATCGAATCTTCATTTCTACTGATCTTCCCACTGGGCCCGGATCTTTATTCATGGGAATGTCCTCCGCAAAGCGTATCGAACAGTCGGTTGTGGCCGATATACTATTTACCGATCCGAGTGCAAGTGGCCCGAAGATCCTGGTCGAGTCCATGAGAATGGATAACGTGGCCGGAGAATCCGCACTATCCAACGGATTGGTGACTGCCAAGCGTTCGGCGGATTTGGTATGGAAAGAGGACATTTCACACATGCAAGACCGATCATTAGATGGTCAGGTGTGGCTCAAGACATGGTTAGAGTGTCTTTTGCACAAACACTCCCGAGCCAACGTACTCATTGTTGGAGAGTCAGACCTCCCTTCGTTTTGTGACGTAAGAAAGTCCGGTCACTTCACAGTGGTCACACTCAATGCGGAAGGGAATGTATTTGAGCGCTCAAATGGTCCATCCCACGCGATCCCACCGGAAATCATGGTCCAACAAAAGTTGAGTGCCAATAGCACCTACGATGTTGTCATTGTCGACACAGGTGTATCAGAGAAGTCCCAGTGGTTGTTAGGACTCATGTCGGGCATTTTAAAACCAGGAGGCAACGTGATAATGTTGGGCAACCCCGACCAGGAAAACGACCTCTCGAGTAACACATGGGTGAAGCGCTTGGCTGACGACGAGAACTACAACCGCGTACATACATTGACTCCGAACTCTATCTATATGCTCATCCGATCGCCAACTCCACCCATCGCATTGAGCACTGCTCCAGATACTTGGAAATTAGACGGTATCACAATTCTGGAGCAGGAGGCCGGAAAGCGAAGTGCGAACCAAATTCAGTTAAGAAACTCCCTGACCAAGCTACTCAATGATTCCGGATTTTCTATCCAAGTGGTGCAGTGGAGAGATATTATCCCCTCTCGCAACACGCGCATAATCTCGCTAGTCGAATATGATGAGCCTCTCTTTTACAACCTAGAAGAAGCTGACCTGGTTCGATTCCGAGAACTCATTGCTAGTTCCCCGAAGTACATGCTCTGGATAACGGCTGGAGGTCTTCTTAGGCCCACGGGGACTGGGATTCACTATGCTCCTACCACCGGCTTGCTGCGCACAGTACGCGCTGAGTACCCTATGCTTGAACTGGCCCATCTGGACCTATCACCAGCAACTCAACAAACACCTTCCGAGGCCGCTTCCATCGTTGCTGATATCTTACGCACAACTTTGGGAGTTGATGTCATGGAGACTGAATTTGCGGAGGATAACCGCAAGATATTCATCCCACGTTTAGTCGAAAACACGGCTGTTGACGCGGAGCTCGCCCTGTACCAAAGCCAAACTACCTCCTTACCCTTGGCCCTAGAAAATATTCACCAGACACTGCGGCTAGTTGTTGAACCGTCTGGGTCGATATACTGGGCTCCTGTTGATGCCAGTAACGTTGAGAATATCGAGGCAGGAAGAGTTCTGGTCAGCACACGCTACACTAGTATCGTCCATGATACGTTCCGCACTGCATCTTCGGCGTGGAACAAGCGACTTTCTGCATACTGGACACTCACAGAGACTCTCGGTGTCGTCGAGAAAGTCGGTTGGGGTGTGACAGACCTTCAGCCCGGAGACCTGGTCCTTGTCGAGTCTACAGGCATCGAAACACGGCTCGCCAAGGCCGCATTGGACATTCTTAAAATACCGCTTAATGTCGTCCCACAAGAGCTAGCATACTGGATTGGGCCTTTGGCAGTATCTTATCGCTTGTTGATGGACTTCACTCATGCACTGTCGCATCCCGTCAGTCTCAGCGAGAAGTTCTCTCTTGAGACCACGCGTGTCAATGGCCAATACTCGCCTCCCAGAAGCCCCCCATCCGGTGCACAACGGCCCGTTCAAAACATCCTTATTGACGTAGAGGATGCTTCGCTCCGACGTGTGCTAGTTCAGATGGCTCAATGGCTTCAGGTCGATGCCTTTGTGATTATTCCGCCGGGCGAAGAACGGGATACGCAGGCTTCTTGGCCTGCTGGCTGTACGGTATTGACTAGAATGTCACGCTCGGTCGCTAAGATGATATCTACGAAGAGCCCTCGCGGAGGTATCGATCTGGTTTTCTCGTCTCTGAAAACCATGTCTAACATCCCTCATATCCTCACAAGCATGGCACCCAACGGTCAATTTATCGCATTGAACGTTGATGCGAATCAGCAGAGGGCGCTGCGGGGTCTTGTACCGCGCTTGGACATATCTTTAGATTGCGTCGACACTACACAGCTTGATCCAGCTGGTATCCGGGAAGCTCGGGGGGCCGTTTTACAGCTCCTTGCCAAGAGTGCGATCACGCTACCTCCAAACCCAACGGGATTTTATGAGCAGTCTGTATCTAGTTTAGACTCGGTCTTTGATACACCATCATCTTCCAATGGGAAAAGTCGCATGGTCATCACCTTTGGTCCATCGTCTCTTATCCCGATTCAATTTTCGACGCCGGTTCCAGTGCAGCTCGAGCCAACTGGGACATATATACTCTCTGGGGGCCTTGGATCATTGGGCCTTGAGATAGCTAGCTGGATTGTCAACGATCATGGTGCTCGTCACATTGTTTTTCTCTCACGGTCCGGGACTCCCAGCCCAACCGCTACAGCTAAGCTCGATATACTCGCCCAACAAGGATGCAGGTGCGATGTGGTGCAATGTGACATCACCTCAATTACGGCTGTGAAGGAATTAGGTTCTCACATCACCGAGAAAGGTTGGGACGTCCGCGGAGTGATCCAAGGAGCCATGGTTCTTGCAGACTCTCCCCTGGAGACAATGACTGCGGATAAATGGGCGACTGCGGCCTCACCCAAAATCCGAGGCTCATGGAACCTTCACGAAGTTGTGGGCCAGAAACTTGATTTCTTTGTTCTCCTTTCCTCCATTTCCGGCATCATCGGCAACAGTGCACAAGCCAATTATAGCGCCGGAAACACGTTTGAAGATGCACTGGCAGCTCACCGACGCAGTCTCGGGCTTCCAGCCATAAGTCTTAACCTTGGTCTCGTCACCGACTCCCGGACCGCAAATAATGTCGGGGGAACCAATGATGTCGATGATTTCCTCCACAAATTCCCACACCTCGCACCTGCCGTGGTCAACATGCGCGAGGTACAGGCAGCGCTTGGGGCCGCTATCCGAGGTCAAGGCTTGAATGGCGTCACACTACCGCCTCAGGTAGTTGTTGGTATCTCCGATCGACTGCACCAGGCAGGATCAGATAATGATTTGCAGAGGCGCTGGCAGTTTGATCCAAAGTTCGATCACCGCGTTGATAAACAAACTTCAACTACTGCCGCCAAACAGGACAAGATTGACCATGCAGCAGCAATCCGTGGAGCCAAAACAACTGAGGATGCAAGGATGGTTGTCGAGAACGCGCTTCGGACGAACGTTGCTAGCGCAATATCTACTGATGCCGATAACGTCGACGTAGAAAAGCCCATCACTGCTTACGGAAGTAAGTTAATTTTCCATTCCAGGATTGACATTTGCGTTCTTTACTAACCTATGCACCTTAGTTGATTCACTTAAGGCAACCGAGGTCCGCAATTGGGTGTTGAAGGAATTCCACAGTCAACTGTCCATTTTTGATATTTTGAGTCCAATGCCCATCTCGCGTTTGGCTTTGACTATTTTGAAGAAATCTTCTTTGAGAGAGTCGGCGATGGACATCAGTGAATAAGGTATCCTCAAGGCGGATGCACCCATAGAGGAATTCAGTTAGGGTTTAGTACGTCATACATAAACCAATATACTTCTATAAGACGATCCTATCATTTCAAACTTTTGTAAACTGTCGCAAGGTCATCATCTTTTGAGATGTCATACTTCAAGCTCTCTGTGTAGCTTTGATCAATTGAATGTAGTTTCTTTGCTATGAGTCCTATTTATACTTCAACCGGATTGTATCTATTGTGACGGAACGTGGGTGCAGGAGTTTTCATAGAAACCAGACACAAACAAGCGAAATATATCTGAAATTGGGTCTAGGCATCGACAGTGGAATATCTCTTTTTTATTCACATAGCGATTACATTCATAAGTTTCCAGAGTCATGAAGTGTCTTAAATCGTGAATCCGTTGACATAAGTGCCTCAGGCGAGTCAAATTCCATCAGAGTACCATTGTCTAAAATAGCAATCCGGTCATAATGATTGATAAACCTCAGCCGATGCACAACGGCCAAGACGGTGTGAGTCGAAAATTCAGTGTTGATGATCTCCTGCATGAAATTCTCGGTTTCATTGTCAACACTGCGCAAATGTATTGTTAGTGTTCATCCCAGAGATTTGGTTGAATGGGAAAATACGCATACCTGCTCGTCGCTTCATCAAGGATCAGTACTTTTCCTTTTCGAACCATTGCACGAGCGAGACAGAGAAGTTGCTTCTGTCCCTGGGACCAAGTAGTGACTTTCATAGCCATATCAAGCCCACCCTCCTTTTCAATCTTCTCCCATAGTCGCACCTTTTGTAGAGCGTTGGTGATCTCATCATCCGATGCCCCCTCGAGGGGATCCACATTGAAGCGAATCGTGCTAGCGACTAAGAACGGGTCTTGGGTAATGACATTGAGTTTGGTTCTGGCTTCAGCTCTGGAGTAATCCGACAAGTCAAATCCATCGATACAAATAGTGCCTTCCTCGAATTGAATCATGCCAAGAAGAGCAAGGATAAGTGTTGTCTTTCCGCTACCAGATGGGCCGCAAATGGCAATCTTTTCTCCAGCGCGGATGGACATGGAGATACCTTTCAAAGAAGGGGGAAGTTTGGCCCTGATAAATGTAAGCATTGAAACTTCCTTCCTATTGGGGGGTATATAACTCACGAGTGTCTTGCAACAACGCCTGAAAACTCGATGGCCCCGGCAGTTGGCCATTGAGTGGGCAAAGACGGCGTTGGATCAAGTGTACTTTCCTCCAACTCGGTCGTGGCGGCATATACCTTCACTCGAGACACAGCCCCAATCGATGTCTCCATATTCGTCCAATCTTTGATAAGCTGCATCAAAACACTATTAAAGGTCATAACCATCACCAGGGCGACACCAACATCTCCGGGATTAAATTTATCACGGAGAAATACGACTGTAGCCACTAGGATAACAGCCAATACAGCCACCAGCATGTCCAGGAAGAAACCTAGACATTGTTGAACGCAGTACATCAGGTATACCGGACGCTGGGAGAGATTGAGTAGAGAGATGCAAGCTTTATCGAAGCTTTCTTGCCATTTATAGGCGCGAACCGTTGCTGCTCCACTAACCAGCTCAAGGAAGTGAGTGTATAATGGAGCCTTGGCTTCAATATCCAAGAAACGCAATTGACGGGATGTGCGCAGATAAAACTTTTGTGTCATGTAGACAAGGGCGGCGGCGAAAGGAATGACGATAGCCAGGTACTTGGCCACGACGGCCAAGATGATCAATTTCACGAGACACGTACATCCCCCTAGATCTTTTGTCAGATGTATTTAATAAATGGCCATACATACCGCACTTACAGGCGATAACGTTGAAGACCTCAATGGGTAAGCTCATATCGATGAGGTCCATATCTTGACTGAACCTATTATGTAGAAAATCGGGGTTAGTGTTCCCCAAACGCGATATTGATTTCCAACATTGTTCAATTGGAATAAACAAAGGATTTCTCTTACCTGTTCGTGATACTGCCAATTTCAACATTGTGGAAGAATTGAAATGGAGCCCTGGTGAAGCGAAAATTAGTTGTCCTGTACATATGAAGATATCCAGGCATGAAGTAATAGAACTCACCGGAATGTGCTGGTCAAAACATTTTCATGGAGCTGAAGTGCTGAAGATGATACAACATTGACAATCAAAAGCCTAAATAGATTAGCATCAAAGGCTATACATAGAAAAAACCTTCTAAAAAGGAACATCAAAAAGACATGACATGGTCGCATAAGCGGCCGACTATTCTTGTTGAATGCAATCAGAAAAAAATGGGGATAGCCGCTTACCAGGAGACGATGATCATGAAGATAATACTGGCAACCCCAAGAGCGATGTATACTCCGAGATACATGGCAATGTGAGAATTGCCACTCTTTGCATTTGCTGCTGTCCACATGTCCAGCCACACGGCTTTGGGGTGGTTAGTATAAACCCAGCTTTTAGTTCGCAAAGAAAGACTTACTAGTGAATTCACGACAGAATGCCCAGAACAATGCGAAGATCAGGCATGAAATGAATGTAAGTCGTCCAGATGCAGAAGCATAGTAGGAATAAACAGAAAAGTCTCCCTCTTGGCGATTCAAGTCATCGTATGAGTCTTGATTATCCAGCTCGTCCTCGACAAAGTCTTCATCCTTCTTATCAGGAATCAAGGATGGTTCCACTTTGTCACTATGGCTGATACCGCTGCTGTTGACAGAAGAAGTTACTGAGGCGGCTTTCAGCTCTTGAATGTAGGAATTGGGAGTTTTGAGGCTGTCTAAGCTCCCGGTTTCCAGGATACGCCCATCTTCGAGGACGATGACATTATCCGCATATTGGAGAAGGAACACTGTTATTATACTTTGTTAGCTACCATATGATCAATGGTTGGATTCCCGGCTTGTCTTACTAGAATGGGTGGCAAACACTACTGTAGTTCGCATCTTCCGGAGTAGCCCCGTTTTGCTGAAAAGATCACGAGCAATAGCCTCTGTGGCACTAGAATCAATACCACTAAACACATCATCTAGCAAAACAAGCCTGCTTCTAGAATAGAGTGCTCTCGCCAATGCCTAGAGTCACAAGTCAGAGTCAGAACCAGTATTCCAAGGTTGTTTGTATTAGCCAAGTCATTTCCACTTACAATTCGCTGTTTTTGTCCACCACTGAGCGTCATTCCGTTGCCAGCAACAGGTGTTTGGTCCCCTTGACGAAGTCGAGTAATATCCCTCTCAATCCCACAACTGGAGATCACCGTTTGATACCAGTCTTTATCCATTGGTCGGTCTCCAATAATGTTCTCGCGGATTGTTCGACTCTGAATCCATGGGATCTGAGCACAGTAAGCGACAGATGATAGGTTTGTGTCAGACAACTCCCCAACGGTAAGAGTTTCCCCGAGTATGCTCTCTATCAGAGTGGACTTTCCGCAGCCGATAGGGCCCACAATCATAGTTATGAGACCATCTGGGATTTTCAGGTGAACATCATGCAGAACAGCGGAGGCATCCTTATCCCATCCAAAGTCTTGGCCCTTGAACTCAATCACTGAGCCATCGGGACATAACGTGTCCATTTTGAAAGAACCCGGAGATTCATCTTGAAGATTTTTTCTAGCATCGGGGGTCTCGGAGTTGTCTTTGGCATGCGGTTTACTACAATACTCCTGTATCCTGTCGAAACATCCCACACATTGTATAACTGCAGGAATTGCCTGGATAAACGTTAGGACGGGCGTGGTTACCAAGGAGATCAGGGAAATGGAGGTGAACGCCTTAGCAGCAAGAATTGATTGATCATGTTTCTTCAAGGCAATGATCGTGTAGACAACAAATGTTGCGATGGGAGCCAAGTCAGTAGGGGAGTTGGCTTTGGAGTAACAAGTGGTCAGTCCACTGTTTACAGACATTGGATTGGCTCAACTCACAAATAACAACCCTGACAATCAAAAGCTTGCGGAATACCGCTGATGTAGCCACCTCAGCCTGCCGAAGCCCCCGAATAATGGAGGAAATCTTTTCGGATAGCCCTAGCATTTTGACCTCTTTAATCTTTTCCAGGGCAAGTGAGGTCATACGTAATCGATCCTCAACTTTTTCAACCCAGGACCGCTGCGAGGTGCTGCTAGCAGCTGCTAGCTTCATTGTAGCAGCTACAAAGACTATCAAATTGCAAGTGTTAATATAATAGTGCAGATCACATGGCATACATGCTTACCGATAACAATCACTGCTGGAACTAGACAAGCCACTCCAAGCTGTCTTTCCAGCAAGAATATTGCTACTGCTATATCAATCAACGAAGCCCACATTTCGTGGATTGACCGGAAGCCACTCGCAATCCGTTCGACGTCAGTCCCCATCAGAGTAATTGCAGTAATTTCACCTAGATCAACTGCTCGGGCTCGAACAGTTTGCCGATGAATAAGGGAAATCAAGCCACCTCGAAGGCGAATCGTGAATCGGAAAGTGTGATATCCATATAAAGCAGTGAAAATCTGTAAACCCATAGATTAGCATGTGCTATCAGTCACTTCAAAGGCAAATGTCGACCCACAGCCATTCCAATATAGGTAAGAGCGTACGCTCCAATCAAGGCCTTTCCAGAATCCATGGCGGCATCTAAATTTCCAACCCACGATACGGTGGCATTGATGAGGAACGGCTGGCAAAAAGGTAAATCCCGATAGAAATAGGCGCGGAATGACCGCAGAGATAAATGGAGCATAATAGGCACGGAAGCAAGCGATAAGCAATGCATGCTTTTTGAACTTGTTTTCTGCGTATCATAACCGGCGAAACATTAGAACTAGAAGCTCGGCACATGCGTCATAGAAGCGCGCATTACCTTGTTTTGACCAGACACTCCGTAGCTTATGCGCAACAACCTCGGTGTTCAGCCGTGGATCAAGATCAGGAAGGTCGTCAACGGAAATGACTTTGGAATAGCCCAAACGAAATGTTCCGGCAAGCCAAGCGAAACTAGCTTGCTTCCAGAACCCACTGAATGGCTCTGGAGTGGCGGGTTTCTCTGTTTTCGGGATGACGATTGACTCTTTCCCAGAAGACTCAAATACCAAAGAAATCAAGGTGAAAATGAAACCAATGGTAAAGACGATAGCCTTGCTTGTTTCATCTGGGATGAGCCACAGGGTTCTCACACGCGCGATACTGACAAGGGACCGAGCAGAAAAGAAGAGAGTGAGTAGAGTTGATGGTCGAATTGAACGGCAATGGTGGATGTATGACAGCACTATGGCGCTGGAGATAGCCACTACTTCGAGCACATCTGCTACCAATGAGGCGTTGGTTTGGATAACAGTAGATCTCAACCGACGTAAAAGTAGAAAGGCAAGTTGGCAAGCAAAAAGGATCATGAGAACTGCCTATAGATTGTGTTGGCCGTGAGTCTTGGAACACAAATTCATATAATGGGTTCAATGGATGAACAAATAACCTACTAGCTTACAGAGCAGTCGCGTAGACCGCTTGATACGACGGGGCTCGTTCCACAACAGCCACAGGGAGGCAGGGAGACCTAATAAGAATAACGCAGTTGGCAGGCAAACGAAAAATAGATCTTCAAAGTAGACTGTGAAATCAAAATTTCGACAGGCGACATTAACACGGGGCCCAAATGCGGCATCGGCCACATCCAAACAAACCGCCTGGGCCGTCGAGACCATAGTAGCGGCTAGCGCAGGAGAAAGGATCCTGGTCTCTACGAGCAGACAAATCACCAATAGCAAAGGGAGAAAAGCTGACAGGGAGAGAAGGGAAGAAGAAGGGGTGATAGAGCAAGAGAGAGACCCTGGCGCTGTCACGTGGAAAACTGGTCCTAACAGAAAACTGGGCAGCAACGGAGGTCACTAAAGTAACACTCTGAAATTCGATGGCGAATTCCCATTCGAATACTCAACTCTGCGGGGACGATCGTAGTAATAGTCCGGAGTCCGAACTCTTATTACGGCCAATCATCGTACACAACAGGACTCCGAATTAGCGTCTGAGGCATATCCAATGATATGAACCGAATGAAACAAAGTGTAAGACATGGATGCATTGACTCACCAGGTCAAGTTCCTAGATCTAGCTGAGAAAGACCAAGGACGTTTAGAAACACGTTAGTAGACTCCCTATATAGTCATCTATATTAGAACAATCGGATCAATGTATGCCTCTTTGCGACTCTCATACCTTAGCCGCCTTTATCTTTAGATTCCTCTCATAGTCATAGTCATAGTCATATCTGTAGTTGTAACACCAAACATCCAAAGAATACCCGAATCGGAAATTATTAACATTGATATACGCAAATCTAACTATATATAGGATTGTAATCTACTCAACCTCTACAACACCAGAACCAGGTAACTCACATCACCGAATAGCCGGGCGAATCTATTTCGCCGGTGCAGCCTTCCAGAACAACCACCCAATGGCAGCAATAAACTTCAAACCAGCAGCCATCCACAGGGCAGACTGCATACCACCACTGCTACGACTCAGCCACCCACCGACGATAGCACCGATAAGCAGACACACAACACCACCGACACGACGGTTGCGCTTAACGTTCGTGGTCGGCTTATCAGTGATCTTCGGATCCGACGCAATATCAAAGTAAACACTCGTCAAAACCACGGTCGGAATCTCATTGTAGCCCAGCGCACGACTGCAGGTCATTCCACCGGCGGACTGGAAAGCCAGCAGACCGATCGGGATCAACTCGAGGAAGAGCGGGCCGCCGGTTAGGGTGGCGTCGGAGGAGGTGTGGGGGATAAGGTCGCCTTCGATCAAGGCGACGGCAATGATGATGAGTATGGTCTGCACGAAGAATGAGACGAAGAGGGTTCCGCGACGGAGGGAGCCGACGCTGCGCATTATGATTGAGAAGATCATTGAGCCGAAGAAGAATGACGCGATCGAGACGAGAGACTTGAGCCAGCCCCATGGCTTGTTGTTGGGTTGATTTGAGGCGCCGAGACCGAGGAAGATGGTGTTTCCTGTTTTGTAGAGATGGATTGTTAGTTCTTCTGTGTTGCGGGGGAAGTTTGTTGGTTGTTTTGGCTTTGCGCCCCCCTTTGCGGGAGTCGTACCTGTTTGCATTCCCAGGAAGCAGGACCACGCATTGTAGGCGCTACTATCACATAGACCAGTGAGGAAGGTGAGGAGCAGACAGACCAAGTCTGCGTGTGTGGGCGACAGGTTCTGCTTCCATCGTTGAGCGACACTGGACTGTTTGGCGGGGAGGTCTGGTGCTTCGAGATCGGGGGTGGCCGAAGCCTCTGTCTTCTCCATTTTGACCGAATGTGAGAGTGTGTACGGAGTAAGATGTACTCTGTACAGGGTAATAAATAGATGAAAAATGAGTACAGAATTTTCTCGTTCCTGAACGGCACGAGGCGACTTCCGAGGGGAAAAGTTAAATTTATCGGAGTTCTGGTCCGATTACGGTCCCTTTTCCACGTCTAACCACTTGATCTTCTTCAGGACTACTCCGTATATACTCCGTACTCCGTAAAATAATACATAATATATACCTAATAGCATATAATAACGTATATAAAACATATAAATTATATAAAAAATTGCATTTATTCCCAACTAAACCCCTTTGAAATTGTGCTGCCTGGAAGCTCCGCACGCAATAGTGGAGAGTTCTGATGTCGTTTCGGATAGGGCTGAATTAAGGTAAGAGATACACAGCCAACCATATCTTCTCTATATTGCCCATCTTTTGTAACTGTTAGGACATAAGTACAACTGTCATTTGGATCCTAGATATTACTGGCTAAACTGGAACGATACATATAAATAGGGGATTGGCATTCCAAAGTTATAATTCTGGCTTACACCCGGGGCCCTATTAACCTACCTTCTTCTAGCCCATTTCTCTATTAATTTTCTCCGTCCATTTCTTTAGCAAATGATTATCAATTCTATTACCAATTCTATTGATATGGCAGGCCTTATTATGTCTAAGTTATCCGCTATCAGACTCAGATTCCCAAGCTTCTTGCCAAGTCCCTACCCGGGTTTTTTACCCGAGCCCATACCCGAGTCCCTATCCGCTACACCAACCCGTGCCGCCGATATAGGCCCTACCACACTCATTGAGCGTCAATCGCATATGCCAATATGCAAGAGTTGACCTGGAGTATGGAAGCGATAACCAGAATGGGTTCAAGCCCGACGCTACGCGAAGGGATGCAGTGCAAGGTTACAAAAAACTCTGGAATTACCCGGAAAATGTAAGCCCTGACCACTATTCGTATTCACATGCGTGTAATATATAAGGAGCGGGCGATCGCGGTTTCCGCAAGGAGTATTCCTGTCTTACACAGAATATGCATAATCCTAGTAGGTATCCCGCATCTAATGCAGCCACGGTTTGAACTAAGAAATAGCTGCAGCTTTCACCCTCTTCAACCTCTCTATTTCGGCTTCATTATCTTCATTATCTCCATGTATTTTGGTATAAAATACATACTCCGCCCCAGGAACCACTGGTAATTATAGTGCAATCTTCTTCAGCTCTGGGGTAAATATAAAAGGTCGATCCCAGGGCGCCATGATCTGCAGCCGGATACCAAGGCGCTAGGCATGGCTCACCGTAAGCTAAAAGGAGTGCCCATGTCAGCTTGAGATGCACTCCAAGGAGTACCACGACCTTGGCAAATGCGAGTATTTCGGGCTTGCGGATGTTTTCGTTATCTTCCGTGAAACCGAGGAGATCTAGCCTATGTGTTCTGACCAGTCGTCTCGAGGTGTTCACGGTGAAGGACCTACACATTCCTCGGTATATGGAAGCAGATTTTCTTTTTGTCTTGTGAGACAGCTTTTTCTTGCTATCAGCATGTGTGCCCTGGGGCTTGTTTGCTTTGTGGCCTTTATCTACGAGTGTTGAGGCACCCTTCATGCCTATGGCGGATAGGACCTCTGCACCTTTCTTCATGTTAGATCATTTCATACATGTCTGCTTGTTTGTTGGTAGATTGGGCAATTTGTTTGCTAATCTGAGGGCATAAATACCCTGCTCCTGATAGATTGAATAGATCATGATTCTTCCTTCTCTCTCCCGCAGTTGCCTGTTGTCATGACACTATTTATCAACAAGCACCGCTCTGCAAGCAGGCAGACATTTCAATAGTGGTCGCGGTCATGACGAAAGTTGTGCGAACAACAACAATACAACAACAGCAAAAGCAAAAAAAAAAAAAAGATGAAGACGTGGCTTCTTACTACGCCCACAGCAAGGCATTGAGGAACACACGCAAAAGAAGCGCACCGGCAATCAAGAACAAACCCAAGTAAAGGACCTGTTGCAGATGTCCCAAGTACTCCCAAAGAAGTACCCTACCATGACCCGATCCTTGTCCGCTGAGATGAAATCGAGAGGTTGACATTCGTTACGCTACCGAAGACTGTAGAGGTCAAGCTCTTTGCTTCCTCACCTCGTTTCATTATCGCCTCACTTCCTGTTCATTTTCCGTATACATGACCTTATGAGTTAGTTCCAACTCGACAACAGAGCGCGTGGATCCGCTCGCACTTCTAAGAAGCTTAGGAAGAACCCCGCTAATGCTGCACAGGGTCCCTCCAAGATGAAGAACAACGAAGCGCGTGGGACCTACTAGACTTCATACTCAGTTCATTCTGAGCGGATTCCAATACCGACAGAAAAACTATTATAGGTATACCTTTTACACATTTATCCATTCATACGGTACCTCCCTTAAAAATATATCTGAGGGGCATCAGGGGGCCAAAAGAAAAGGGGCGGATCAATCGAATTCTTACCCGTCACAATAAGTTCAGTTCTTTCCGATTCTCCAACTACCCAAGCAGAATGTCCAGCTTAGGATCTCAGCGAAGCAGCCACAAGCCGTACGTCCAATATACGTCCAATACTCTTAATCAGCTCTAGCTATCCCAATTATTCCACTTAACTAACTCCAATTCTCTATAGTGTCCACCTGGCTGGTGGAATAGTCTTGCGCGGGCATGGTGAGGGTGACCGGTATCTATATTTATATATACGAGTGACACCTCGATCTTGCATATCATGTTGGGAAAATGGCAGGTAAGACAAGTCTTTAGGAATGAAACGAGACAGAAATGATTGCTGGCACTGCCATAAGACAGCGGTCTGGAAAACGGCTAGAGAAAACCGTGAGGAAGCGGCGAAATGGGCATCCGACACTGAAGAAATGGATATGCAGAGTGGGGCCACGGACTTTTGCGGTTTCCCAGCCTCATGCGGAGACGAAGTCGTTCATTCTGTACACTTCGAACCCCTCGGACTCTGACCAGTTTTTTTATTTCAAGCTTCCCAGAACCCCTGGAACTCGGTGCGGGAACCGTTCAGGGGAGGTTCCATTGACTATCCTGACCATTGTGATGTCCCGCCTCCAACCAATGAACCCTAGGATGGGGAATTCGAAGAAGGGGAGATTCCCTCCATAGTGGAGGAGCGTTGTGCGTGCTCGTCATATTACCGCTGCGTATTCATCCAGCCCCATTTTGTGGTTTCGGTGAATTTTTCAAGTAGAACGGGAACTTATATAGACAATCTACTGCCTCGTTATCCGTTGGACGCAACATCCTTAGTCACCCTAGCAAATTTCTCAACAGTGTCTGTTATTTGAGCAAATGGCACTTATCATTCATTTGACGCAACCTTCTTGGTTATGTACTCAAGTGAGGTTGTCAATACGACCCAGGTATACAGTAAATATAAAAATCCTCTCATCTCGTCAAATAGAAGTAGACTTTCCCCTGCCACTCTTTACTCTCAATACACCCGGCCACCATATTATTTTTCACAGCTCGGTAATGGACCATCATTGGTCGCTTATCGTAGACCAAAGTCGTAGAGACGACTCCATGGTATTTGATTTCACGTAGCTGCCAGAAAAAGAAATGTCAGCTCTCATATCCGGGAGCCAAAATACACACAAAATCCATAACCACGTGTGCATATAGATATGCGTAGCTTATGTACCACTGGAGATATGTGACAGAATAAAGGAAAAGGACTTACAGATGCACGCCCCCAATCCTCGAAGGGCACCCGCTCCCCATTCCGCGCAACAGTCAGCGGCGCCACATCCTCGGTGGAATAAAATGTATTGCCGAACCAATTGAGAGTGTCTAGCTCCTCTTCGAATGGGTGGCCCGTGTTAAGGATATATCCGTCCCACTCGCCGATCAAGTCGTCTGGCCGAAGGGCCTTGAGCTCGTGAAAGACAGTGTTGATTTTCCCATCAGTTACCCGGGGGTTCTTGGTGAGAGCGACGAATTTCTTGGCTGGGCTTGGCTGGAAATAGTCGAATGACATGTTTGGGAATTGGATTGTCATCTTGTGTGTGTTGTTGGCTCAGGTACAGGCTGAGGGTCTTAGAAAGCGAGGTCGAGTCTGTGGTTTCTGACCAGTGGATATATGTGTTTCCTTCATCTTTGTATCTGCGTGGACCTCCTGTACTAAATATGATGTGAGTGAGGTTCCTACAGAATGTATAAGAGTAGAAAACAAGCGGTTCCAGCGGTTGAGGCAAAAATCCCCAAGTATGCTATGAACTTTGATCTAGAGGACATTACTACCTATTTGATAGCTCTGCTGACTCGCTATTTTATCCGATTTGTTCGAAGTGAACCATCATATCCTGCCAGGAAGGGATCATCACATGGGAAATGCTACCAATACCCCAGGCCGTGGGTACCCGCACCCGAAAGTGTATCAGATCCTTCTGGCACTGGGTTGCATACCACGAAAAGAATACAAGTTAATGAACGGGGAAAATATGAGATATGAAGATTCTCTTGCCTGGTTGCCACATTCCAAGACTGGATGCGCCTCGCTCCGTGGCTGTTTTGCCTGCGTTGATCAATGATTGATTAAGAATGGACTGGTATGGACCGCTATGACAGGGAGCTGGAATCCTCTCTAGAACCTCCTTTTTGGCGGATAAATAATTGAATACTACGGTTTCAATATTGGCCAAGGGAAATGAACGTATCAAAAGACATGCATACCTATATTGGAATGGCGTGATATTCTGAATATTGTACCATTAATGGCTGCTGAGACATGGGAATGTACGATTAAACTCAATACCCGCCACATTTTGGCAGCAAGACAAACCCGCAACGATTCAGGCATCTCTCAACACTCCCGTAATCTGGGGCAAAACACGGCCGCATTCTTCGCGTCCGAACCCCTGGTACGCTTTAACCGTAAACGCATGCTCTAATATAGAGATAATAGAGATATATTGATAGCCAACCTGGGCCCAAAGTGAAGGAATGGCAGTGGCTATGAAGGTTAGCGATGTAGACTGCTACAAAGAGAACGCGGACATACCGAAGAACTAGTGCTCAACGTACCGAAAGTTCTGGGCATTGCGGACTATCTCACAGTACGCGTTTTGAATACTGTACTCGTCTAGAATACCGCTGCTCCAGTCCCCAATACTGCGAGTGATTTCAACCCATAGCAACCTCAACCAGCAAAACCCACCCACGACAACAATTCATAGTGCCCAAGTTCTCACAATCTCATGAGAATCTTTCTCAATATCCTTCCACTCCAAATTACTCCACCTCGCAGGCCTCTCAACAGCATCAACGAACTGCCTCAATGCAAGCACCGTCTGCACCGCCCAGCGCTCCTTGCTAACTTTCCCAACCCCAACAGCTAATGGCGTCATGAGAATCTTCTCAATCCTCCCCTCTCCCTGTGCAGCACGATTATGTCCCTCGACCTGACACAACAAGCTCCAAACGCATTCATAGACAACCTCCTTGTCCCAGCGGACATCCCCAGGCTCACGCATCGTCGGACAAATAGCCACCCATCGGCAGCCGTATTTATTCTGCTTTAGGCCATCTGGGAACTCGACAAGCGTGCACGAGCCCGGGGGCGCAAACCCACGCCATTTCTCATAAAGCACTGTTTGCGCTGTGCGCGTCAGAGCATGGTAATCTTGACGTGGACTGAAGGTCATTGAGATGGCGTGGTCGAAGGCTCCGTCGAGACGGGCGTAGGAGTTTGCTGGTGAGACGATTAGGTCGAAGGTTGTTCCTTCTGGGAGGGAGTTTAGCCGCTCGTGTATTGGGGTGATCTTTAGTTTTGTTGGTTCGTGGTCTGGCCAGGTCTTTTCGAGGGCATCATTGAAGGCTGTTAGGAAGATTTTGTCCATGCAAAGCAGGACGATCTCTGGGATGTTGGATGTCATCTTTCGTTTGGATGATGGGGGAATTACTGTGTGTTTGATGTAAGTTGGCAGATGTAGTACCTAGGTAAGGTTAAATAGAGAGCCTCAACCTTGGAAGGCATCAGCGATTTACACAGCCCCGCTCCACTAAGGCTGATGATGACTGTGGCTTTGCCTATTGAATGGATACAGATGTCAATCTCTTAGAGGATGAATCTATTATATACCAACTGTACATCAGGCGAGGCTATACGTGTTGCACCTTCTCTCAACTATACGTGGTGTGGCCATGATCTGCACGCAGAAATAAATATTCAGGTAACTACCAACCTGTGACGTAGACCCTTCTTTCAGAAACGTATGTTCTCCTTGTTAAGGGTAATTCATACAAGCTAAATGTACTCGTAGACAAAAAAAGACATTCATTCACCTATTCCAATATCCCTCTCTTTCCTCAGGGTTGGCTCCTCCGACAAATCGGCACCACCTCTCACAGCCCGACTCTCCTCTTGAGTCGACACGTACCGAATCAAGCTTTCACACAACCGATCCAGGACCCACTCAGGCTCTGTCTGTTTTGCGAGCATGGGGCTGTTCTCCCCAATCCAGTCCCAATTGAGAAGTCCATATTCGTCTTCATCAGCGGCAATGCCTTCCTCACTTGTTGGCTGGTTTCTTTGTGATGATGGTCGCCGAGCTCGCGGATCCGTGAACTGAATGAGCCGAGTGAACTCCACCCATTCTTCGTAGGAGTATCGTTTTCTCTTGCCTTCTCGTGCCTGTTTTGAGCAACGGCGAATAGCAAAGGCAAGTTGCTGAGCAAGCTCAAGTGGGGTCGGATCGCGGACAAGTTCCTCCAGTGGTCGGTGTGGATGAGCCTCGGCGAAGTCCTCACTTTGCATATTAGGTTGACCAGACTCCTCGGCGTTCGCTGTTTCCGCGTTGTCGGATTCATCAGCCCCCTCAAGTGGGAAACCGCGCTCTTGTCGCTTTTTCTCTTCTCGAGACAGTACGAACTGGGAAATGCCGGGAATCCGACCGAAGAATGACTTGTAGACACGCGATTGGGGAAGCACAAGGTAATCGGCGAATACTTCAGTAGCGCGCTTGAAGCTGGCTACAACTGTATCGCTCATCTCGGAAATGAGCATGGTCATAGTTGGGATGGCGATTAGAGACCATACCACAAAGAAAGGTTTCCCTGGGGTCGATTCCGGTGTGAAATCACCGTAGCCGATGGTTAGCAGGGAGGTGAAGCAAAAGTATAGTGATTCAAAGTATGTCATGGCTTCTAATTTCCAGAACACCACTGCTCCGCAAGACCACACAATTCCGAATGTAACGATACTGATGATCAAATTGTTCCAGCGACGGAAGCGCATGGTATCATGCTGGATACGGCGCATGGCATTGAACCGATCTTTTTCTTCACGCATAATTAGGATCCTGGGTCGGCGAGCCGTGGCAATGGCGTTGATCGTGTTGCGAATTGGCCGATGATGCAGATAGCGATTAGGCTCGAATTTTTGGCGAGTGAGACCCGGAGGAGTGACGACTTCTCCACTAGCCAGGCGTCGCTCCTGAGAAGATGCGAGCTCGTCAAAAGTGATTGATCGCTCGAAAGTGGATTGTCGCTTCTGTTCAATGTGTTTCCGAACGACGTTGTCGTAGTGAACCTCGCGAGCAAATTTAAAGATGCTTTGCACCACCAGTCCCAAAATGATAATTCCAATGACTGCAAATGGCCAAATAAGACCTCGACCAACGGCATTAGTGGCGGTTATGTTGCCATACCCTAATGTGAGAACGGTGACATCGGAGAAGTACAATGCATCGCCGAAAGAGATCCCGAGCACTCGCTGAAACATAGCAGCACCGACCAACAGCCAAATCACCAATGCAGTCATTTGTAGAATCAAGGTTCGTTGCTCGTCGGTTAGCGCAAAGTGTTGCGGGTATTTACCCAAGAAATAGCCTAACATGTTGATCATCAAGATAACGCTCAAGATAAAGTAGAGGATTGCCGCGATGACAGCACTCCAATAACCCTGCGAGTAGACCCTATCAATGCCTACCGGAGGAGCATAAATGTGTGTGGCTATTGTAATTCCAGAGAGCTACAAGCAATTGTTAGATCTGAGACATACAAAATCAGTGGGGTTACTCACGATTCCCGCGGCTATGAACCACAAAATAATCGTCACGGGCAAAGCTATAATATAGCGTACTATCTGAGTAAAATTGAACAGTAAAAATGCATTTCCCACGATTCCGCAGAAAAGTGAAACGGCGTTTAAAACAGTGTCCCTATTCGTGGTGTTAGAGAGACCTGGTCCAGGGTAACGCTCTCTTGCTTTATACTCACCAATGAGGATCTGCATATCCCTCTTGGATGGAGGTTCCAGCAGCGCTATATTGATTTGGAAGAATTTTGCTTCGCCATGGCATAACCAGCGCAACGATTGACATGACATTGGCGAGTGGTCCCGTTGTAGCGGCAACTAGCGGAATGGCCGTCGATGCAATCCACCACGACTGGGGCTCATCATCTTCAGATGGTCTCATGTGAAACTGGCCCCGGATCCATTCCCATGGGGACAGCCTATCGGAATTTCCGTCGGGCATCTCAACTGTCGTAGATCCATGTTGCATCGTTTATTCAGCATGACCATGTGCCCATATCGGGGGCAGTTGCAGGTCGAATGATCCTTGTAGGTCTGAAGCTAAGGCTTTCAGATACCTTGGAACACCAGTTCACTTGCCAGAGCTAGATGTTTGGAGAGGGATTTGAAAGGTCGCATCCTCATCTGTTCTTGGTATGGTGAGATTGCACCAGGAGAGCGGTGAAGACGGGTAGGAGTCTTGGTAGTTGTTGGCTCCCAAGCAGGTCTCTGAATTATATCGACTCGAATGATCTTTCAGCTAATCATCTTAATTCGAAGGTTCAAGCACTACCTATGTTGTAGGTAAAGCAGCGCAGATCAGATGATGTCAACGATCAGCGCTGACAGCTCGCGGTCCCGTGACCGTTCCACGTGCGTCATCCATGGGTCATTCCAAGGTTATTCCTCAAAAGGTCAACACAAAACATTTGGACTACAAAGTATGGAAATTATTGAATATGAGAATTCTGAACGAGGCAAATATGTTCTAAGAAACCCCCAAAATAGGTCTGACAGGGTAAATAAGGTTGCATGGCCACATGGACTTGCAATCCACCTCCAGGTAATATTATGGCCTCTCCAGGGCTAGCCTATGCAATTACATATGCTTATTATTCAATCTCAAGGTCAGATTGTCATGAGCTTTCCATCTCATGTCTTCCCAAGAGTATCCACAACATGTTCAGAAATGGCCGGCTCTTTTCTCCGGCTCAACCTTCTAAGCCAACCTCTCTCACAAGTCCGGTATGACCCCAAATCAAGAAAGAGATTCCTAAACCAACATTAGAAATCTGCGCTAATATATAAGCTAATAATAACTGGCTCATAATCTATTTAAGTTAATTATCATATACCCAGAAAAATGAAAGAGTATTATCACTTCCCCCAAAGTTTCGACCTATACTAAATCAACCACCTTAATATCAACCACCATGACTATATTTAATAGCCATCACCATGCGTTAAAAATAATCCCTCAAACCCAGGATCACCATGCAACCCAAGACAAATATGCACGCAACCCCCCACACCCCTGCCCCTCGTCTGTGATAGGGTCGCCACATCCTCGGGTGCCCCCAACCAACGTGCATGCAGCATTTGAATTTCGAGGTATAGACCAATAGCAGCTACGATCACCTGCATGAGAAAAAAACGCAACTTGATCCCACGCTGGGACCTACACTTATATGAAATGTGACATCAGCAGCCGTCATCGGAGTGATAGTACCTGCTTTGGAGGGCGTACAGCCAGTAAAAGATCAAATAACTAGATATTTAATAGGACTGAGCAACGACTTCGGGGCGATTCTATGGGCTTTCGATGGTTCTACAGGGCGGGGTAGTGATCCACAGCTGTACGATGTAGGTACTTGCATGGCGCAGGCGCTGGGATGAGGGGTAGCTCCAGGGCTATCACATCGATTTGGGTTTTTTGGGTGGATTTGGACTACGTGGAAATAGTATTGGATTTTACATTACATGTGGACTTGTTCTGGGGTAGGAAACAAAGTATAGAATGAGAAAAAGTATTAACGAGCGTTAGGGTTGGTCTATCAGACGTTTGGGTCGTGTTGGTTCTATATACAACCCAGTTCCTCCGACCCAACATCAAATCAAGCAACAGGCAAAAAATAGCAGACGGTTGTAATGCGAGTGACAAAGGAAATAAAAGATTGAGGGAATAAAAATAAGCAAATAAGCACGTATATAAGAAATCGCAAGATGGTATCATCGAAGCAGAGTGACACGGACTTCAACGGCAAGACAGAACGGACTTGACGGCCAGAAACGAAAAGATTAAACAAGGACGCCAGAAATGGAATAGAATGGATCAAAAAGGGCGCCGTCCTATGAAAGAAACGATATCAAACGCAAGGCGCCGGCACCAGAAAAGAGAAAACAAAAAAACAAAAAAACAAAACAATAACGATGATCTTTTGTGTCGAGCCCTGGGCAATATCTGCCAATGGAGATCGAAAAAAAAACAGTAAATGCGACGAGCAAAGCCAGCCGAAGCCAAAGCAACACGCTCCAAATGCGATTCAACAAATGTCAAATGCTCCAAATGTAGATAAGAAAAGCAGCAGTAAGAAAGTCTCTGTCTCTTTTGGGGGGGTATCGCTCCCTTGGCAGTCGGTAGAAAAAAAAAGTAAAAGAAAACATCCTATGCAGTCGCCGGTCGGCGCAGGATGTCTTCGCAGTTTGCGTCGAATCGCATATTCCAAAGACGAATACTATTCATGAGCTTCTCTGTATTTTCAAGCTCACGGTCGCGACCGAAAATCGATTCGACAAATTCGCAGCCTGCATTGCGACCCATTGATACGGGTCCTTTGCCACCTTCTCGCTTGGCGGCCTTCCACATGTAAAGTTCGCAGCCCTTGAGGAGCTTCTTGAAACGGGACCAGAGGCGCTCGCCACTTTCCAGGAAATCTTCGACGACTTCCTGCGCATCCACGCTTTGGATGCGAGGGAGACATTCATCGGCCCTCTTTACTTTGCCCGCCAGCTTGATCAACAATAGCCACAAGTCGCCCGCGACGTCGGCCATGGGCGTCGATGCCCCATGATGAAAGACGGTCCAGTCGTAGATCCACTTTCCGAGAGAGTTCGCATCAAACACACTACCAAGCAAGATGATCGGTGCCTCGGTTGGATCCCAGTTTTTGATCGAGTAGCCTGGCGGGATCCCTGCGGCCTCGGCGTCATCTTCGGTGGCGACGGGTGGTGGTTTGGCAGTGGCAGGAGGTGGTTTTGGTTTGCTGGGAGTGCGCGTTGATGTAGATTGGCGCCTTGTGCGGGAGCGTCTGGCCGCTTCGATATCCTCGTTGTTAGGAGCCTGAGTGAAGTAAAAGTGAGAATCAGCTGGGTTTGATTTGCGGTAAGAGGTCGAGGTGGTGCGACGATGTTGGCCTGAGCCATCTCGAGTGGGGTTCGAGGCCGGGGGATGGCCTGGGCGACCGGTACGGGGATCGCGTGTGTTGGTGCGCGGGACATCGAATGCTTCGTCGACCACATCTACGAAGATGGGTCGAGTCTGCGATTGCGACGGGTGGTATCCGTTGCCGAGGCCATCCCCGCAGGGTGACCGGTCGAGGAATATCGGTGTTTGGGCTTTCCCGCAAAAGAAGCACTTACATGATCGTGCTTTCGCGATGGAATGCCATAGTCTGGGCTTGCTTCATAGTACCCTTGAGGGTAGCCAGATGAATACCATGGTGTTTCTTTGGTGGCCGTGTAGCTGGCCTTGCGGTTGTGTCGTCGCGAGGTGCCCCGAGGTGATGCGTAGGAGTTGGCGAACTGAGAGGCGTAGTAGGCGTATTGAGGTGAGGTGGGAGGTGATTGAGTGTAGTCGTAGGTGGACCACCCGGGCGGTGGACTGGAGTAATGATACATTATCGCACGAGCATATGGAGAAGTCGATCAGATAAATGTAAATGGGAGGCGACAAGCCGGAAATGCAAACAATCCAAAGGCAGTTAAATGAAATCAGCAAAAAAAAAAAAAACACCGAGTATATTATACAGGATATCGTGCACCCAAACAGAAATCGACGCCGACTTTAGAACTGCAGGTCAGATAGGATTTTTTTTTTGATAGTAAGACCGTCACCGTGGTACGGTTTCTGATCGAAGAGAGGAGGGTTGAAACTGAATGTGCTGAGAGAGCATTTGAACGTTCTTCGGTCAATCCGAGGAAAAGAGAGAGAGTGCGTTTAGGGGATCCTAGGACCCAATATCTCCTATTGATAAAAGGAGATTGAGAAAAACAAAGAGCAGAGAGACCCTCCACTCCAAAAGATGTAATGGCTTTGAATTCAGTGGAGATAGGTGGAGAGAGAAAAATTTCAACCCGATGAAAGGGAAAAGGAAAGATGGATCCCAATGTCAGCGCCGGCGATATTGGCGCAGGCCAATCAGTGCATCCGCTAGTGACCGGCGCGTGTGAGTTGGCGTTGTGGGTTGTGGCGTTTGGATTCTTTCTTACGTGTATTGAAATTCGTCGAATTTCAAGGTATTCTATTCATTTCCTCTGAATTTCAGTTTATTTAAATTTAGTTTATAGTCTTCCTTCTTCTGGATGATATTCCATTTAATTTATACCTTGCGCTCGAGGTCAGCTATTACATATTATGACTCAACTTCAGGTGCCAACCGTGCAAATACACTCCAGTCGCCTTTCTAGTAGAAACTGGTACTTTCTATTTGCCTCCTTAAACTACTATAACTAAAGTACCATCAAGTCTTGATGTCGCTACCCCTCAAGCTAGTCCAGATGGAGACGCTTCCATTGGACGCTATATGGCAAACCGCTTGGCTGATAGCCCCTCAGCTGAATCGGGCAGCGGACAACTGCATTTTCCTCGGTGTCTTTGACTTTTCTGGTCTCAAGGCAACTGCCTAGCGAGATTTTTCTAGCTCTTGCGGACTGACTCACTCTGAGTAAAATAAAAAAAAACCAGGCGTGAATGTCGCCACTAAGACGTAGTGTGATTCCATAGACATCTTACTGGCTGCCTTACAGATATCCAGAAATGGAACTAATTTAGGTCACCCCTCCATCAGCTGGCGTGTCATGGTTGGGTTGGATGAGCGCGAAGCCATGTGCTCAACTTCCAGAACTAGGCTTACATTTTCCATGCCTCGTACAGTTCATCTGCATGAACGCCATCATTAGTTGCAGCAAGACGGAGAATACTATATACAGCAAAACGGTACTTTATATCGATCATATGAAGATATATCCTCTACTAGTAGTAATTAACGATGTAGGCACTCGCTATAGGCAGTGCTCGATGTATGCAGTGCTCGATCCAGCAAACCAAAACCGGTTCCATGGTTGGACCGACGGCATCCCAGATTTCATGACGGCCCATCCCGTCTCGTCCAGTGGTTCAGACTCCACTAAACCCCCAGACAATTCGGACATTATTCCAAGGTTACTTTACTTTAATACTATCTTGTAACATATACGAACACGTTGCCATGGCAAGAGAAACTAATGAGCCCCATCGGTATATCTTTTACACACACATCCACTTCGCACTGCCATCTTGGGCGACATCACGGGCCATGCATGGGCTTTACCGCTGCGTCGCTGGGCAGCAACCGCCATTTTGGGCAAAAATATAGAGAATTCACAGACCGCAACTTGCTTCTTGGGTCTGACCATCAATATCTTGAGTGGGCTGAAAAGTCTTCCGAGTAATAAAAATAGTATAACTTATTATCAAGTATGAAATCGAGGGATGCGCAACGGCTGTGTACAACGCGTTAGGATCGAAGCCGCATAATGGGGGGCAGTGTCCTCCAACCATACATAAAATGAAGTCATGTCTAGATCACCAAACTGTTATGTATCCATTTTTGACATTTTGGCTGCCGATAGTTCATTGTTTCAGCGTGGGGCGATGAACAATAGGCGACTCGCTATCGTTGCGATCGCATACAACTTCAAGCCCTAGTCTGCCTTTTCGGGACTGGTCTGACACCAACCAGCGCTATCAGATATGCAGTGTGCGTCATGACCGGCAGAGCTATATAGACTACACACTAATATTACAACGGCCTCGACTACAACATTCTCTATTCTATGAAACAAAGCACATGCCTCTGTATGTTCAACGTAAAGAACAGGACCACCGCAACTTCGCGCAGCCACCAATACCACCAATACCAACATAGTTTTTATGCTCACGCACCAAGTAAAGGGATGAAAGACGGAATTTCCAGCGCATCCTTGCTGCCCACACAAAAGAATCCCAGGTCCACCCCTGATTCGAGGGTTTTGTTTTTCTTGAATGACTCAACCCTTCGAGAATCCCCCCTGTCTTAGCCAACCAGCCAAACAGAAGGCAAAAAGCCGTCCTGCACTGCCGATCATCTAGGGTTGCACATGGCTTATTTTTTTATTTATTTTTTATTTTTTTTCCAAAAGGAATTAATCAATCACCCGCCTAACATGTCTTTTTGATCGTATCTGCATGATAGATCTCACATGCAGGCAACAAATTAAAAAAAAAAGAAATATAGACGTATAGATAATCCAGCGTCTAACAGATCTTACTCGACAATAACCCCCTATTTTCTCTTCCTTTGCCACCCAAATCAAGCTGATTTCAGCCAGCAACAAAAAAAAATAAAGATATAATATTAAATTTGATTAGTGCGGAACACCGACTCGCCTAAGACTCATGGAATTTCTGGAACAAGGTTTAAAGCCCAAAAACCCACACCAAGCCCGCTAACAAGGCTGCAGGGGGGGCCAACGGGCTGGAAGCCGGGACGCATAATCCCTCGGCTGTAGGAACATAACCTTGAACAGGCGCACGGGGACACGCACACAAATCTTTGTACACCGTTCCTCCCCAGCAAAATTATTGGCTCTGTCTAATTTATATCCCGTGCTTCTCGTGCTACATGCAACTCCCACAGTGGGTAAGCTTAGTATGGCCTACAGCTAATGTATCATTTAATATTCACAGCCTCAAAGCGCGGTGGTTTAAACGGCTCAACATCCCATCCTTGCGAGACAATCAAGTTTGGGATATAGGGGTTTGTGGACGCCTAGATTGCCGTGTGGATACTGCGTACTTCCGTTCTCCGTGCGGATTACTCCATACAGAACCCTGGTAGAATGCGGATTTCAATGTGGGTATGATTGGTAAATTTTGCTTTTTGATATCAAGCCCGCCAAGTCTGGAAGTACAGGGGAGTTTGGTAATGATAACAGCCTTCTTCACCTACACTTGCAAAGCACCTACCTCCTCGCCCCCTAGATATCTAATTAAACAAACATGCACGCTCTGGACAAGATCCATAAAACCATATCACATGAAGAGTATTTTCGACAGAATCCTATCTATCTGCCACCCCCTTGCACAGACGGACGTCGGCTGTGCCGGCGGAGAATCAAAACAAAACCTTGAACCCATTTTAGTGTTTGTTATTGGTATTCTAGGCCCCGTTGGAATACTAGCGGTCGGGAAGATCCTCGAGGGTAATTTGTACTTGTATTGTTCATATCAGGCTTGTGTATTGAGCTTTTCAGGTTTTCATTGTGCGTGCTGATCACATAGGGTTTGCATAGCTGCCCTTGCCCTGTGCCCTATAAAGAATGTCCGTAGGCGCTTATAGATCTAGGTTTGGGCTAGGTGTTGGTTGGTACTTTTGTCGTTGCGCCATTGGATTCGTGATAGGGGCTGGGGGGCTTGCGTTGGGTTGTTATGTGGTGGTCATCTTGCGCCTTTTTTTTCCCATACTTTTTGCGCATACTTCGACCCGGTGTAGTTATCTCCGAGTGGCTTGGGCCAGCCCCTATCTGGACTTTGGGCCTTGGTGGTGTAGGACATGGATTATATTCCGTGCGTATTACGAATTACTTTTGTCAAGGTGGAGCAGATGATTGAGAACCAACCCCTTGTGAATAATGGGCGAGCGGTGAACCTGTTGCTTCATGGGTTCATTCCATGGACAAGATTATATTGCATGGTCTATATTTAGGTGGTGGTCCTGATATTGTAGGTATATGTACAGGCATGCATGAAATTCTATTTAAGCTCCTAACAAACCCAGAAAAGAGAAAAGCCAGTATGTACAACGTGGATAGTATTGGCTGGAGGCAATATTGCTGCATATAGAATGAATGGTATCATGTTTGTCAAAACCCAACACGCGGATCGCTGATCCTCGAACAAAGAAAAATCCAATGAGTCCTCCCACCAGAATGCTGTAAAGCTGGAAACCACAAGCATATATCTTGGGCAAAAATTAAAAAAAAAAAAAAAAAAAGATATATATAAACGGTCTATGCAACCATATACTCGCCGTCGCCCCGCTTGGCCTGCATAACTCGGGACCAACGGAAGGCCTGCGATGAAGCTGGTGCCCTGCCACCAGCCAGTGGAGGCGGGGGACCGAACCCGCTAGGATAAACTGGGAATGAAGATTCCTCAGAATGCTCAGCCCAGATCCGTTCCAGAAGCTCTAGACAGGAAAGGTTGTTGATGAAGCCAGAGTCTTTAGAGATATCCTTGCAGCGATTGCGAATGATCGAACGGTGATCGTCCTGGACACACTCCGAACCCACAATGAACAGTGGCCAGAGAAGATATACGTCTGATTGCACGGTAATGAGGCAGTGCATGGCGAGCTGAACAAGATGCTGGATACGGCCATGAGACGATGGAAGGGTCGGCTCGGCCAGACGTTCGCAGTAGAGAAGGGCAGCATGACGGAAACACTCCGAGATCTGGTAGACGTCCTGGAGATTCTCGGGCGCCACTTGGTATGCTGATGAGGAAGTCTGTGGCGTCACATAGGTAGTCGAGTTCCAGGTCATTGTAGATGCAGATAAGGGCGGAGAGGGAAAAGCGGCCTGAGCAGGTGGGTCGAATCGCCAGGATTCAAGTCGCTGCCTGAGCGAATACCACTCTGTCCAGAATTCTGGAGAGGAAGGACGACGGCATGAGTCACTGCTTGGCGGCGGCGTAGGAAGAGCGAATCCGTATTCCGGCGCGGAGCCTATTCCAGTGTTGGGCACTGTTTCCCACCCCGGGAATAGCATATTAGGAGGGAGGGACGCGGTGGAGATAGCAGCGTCACTTGGGCGCGATAGATTGGGCTCTTGATCCTGACTCAGAAGATTCAAACGTCCCAGCTGAGAAATCATCTTGAACAGACGACCATCACAGCCGGCCAAGTTCTCCAGTCCCCATTCTCCATCGGTTATGGAGCTGATCTCCAAACATGTTCCGCGGAGTTGCACATCACGGTCATTTGTAGTTGCCGTCAATGTATCAAACCACGAGAACATGCGGATGAACCATTTGAGGTCATCCGTTACGACACGGGAATGGCGCATTCGGATCGCAAGTAGTCTTGTTACTCCAGCAAATTGTGCACGGAATCCAGCAACGCCAGTATCACAGCCGTGGAAAAGACAGAGAATTAACAAAGTTGCCAATACGGAGTCTGACAATCTGCGACGAGGGTCGGCCAAATCAGCATTTAAAGCCTTGACGGCCATCCCTCGATGATGATTTTCTTCTCTCATATACCCTTCCACCATCGAGATACCATATCGATCTTGGAAATCTTCATCGGTGAGGGCACGGTGAGCCATTGATGACATACGTGCCGGCAAAGTTCGTTCCGTGGAGAGGTGATTGTGCTCTCGCCTCTGGCGCAAGTTGCTCGTAGCCAACGTTGCAATCGCCTCCTGCAGAGCCTCACTCTCCATTGCCAACCGTATAACATGAGTTCGGAACGGGTTTGTCGGGGTATCAAAGGCAACAATCATAGGGGCGATAACTTCGGCGTAGTAACTGATGAGATAACGAATACGTGGGGTCCGTCCCACAGATCGTGCCAACAGGAGCTGAGATAGTGATGGAGAATGGGCGG